GGCTGCTTGCGTTGTGGCCGAAACGTCGTGAGAATTATGTTATTGTGTTTTATTTTTATTATTTTATTATTTCCATTCTACGTGACTTTTCCGAAAGAACCAAGAAGATGAATCCCTGCAGTCACGAAAGCTTTAAATCGAAATATATTATGATTATTATATTATGATTATTATATTATGATTATTATAGGAGTTAAGCAGAGAACCCAGATGAAACCCATGCATGACAGTGTGGGAGAGAATATACCAACTACACACAGAAGGTCGATCGAGTTAGGAAATCGGTGTTCACTAAAGCGGTGACAGCCTCCTGTTTGCTGATACACAAGCTCATTAAGCAACTATGTTGTCCACAAGTCGATTTGCCCTTGCCAGCGTGAGAGTTCAGTGTTTCTGTCCGTCCGCTTGATGGGTTTCCCTCTCGATTTCTTAGGTTTCTGGCTCGGTTTCTGTGTCAGTTTAAACTAAACTATATATATTCTTAGGTTTTGTCGGTAAAGTCACGTAGGTAAAACATTAAAATTAATACAGCTGTCGTGGCTGTGACGGTTCCACCTGAAGACGGAGGCTTGTGTTGCCTCCGAAACGTCGTGATTTTTATTTTATTTTACTTTTATTAATTTTAATGTTTTATCCACGTGACTTTACCGAAAAAACCTAAGAATATGAATCCTTGCAGTCACGAAAGCTTCAAATCTAGAACTAAACTATACACTCAACATATTTTGTATTTATTTTACCAGGTAAGACTCCCACTGAGCTGCTATGTATCTCTGTTTCAGAAGCAGTCACAAATGATAGCCCAACGAAGTAGCTTATACTGGTAGGAACCACCTGGTTCCACCAGCCCACAGGGGATTATTGTGTCCGTCCGTCGTGCATCCAGTAAAGCAAGCGGATCAATCGCCGCCTGTTTCCATCTGCGTGGCTGATGGATCGAGCGTTGCCCCCTCGCGCGCCGTGGGTTTTCTCCGTGGAGCTCCAGTTCACACCCACAGCGAAAAGAGAAACCGGTCTGCAAAATTGAAAACTGTCCGCAAATTACATCGTTGTCATTGCACATAGCGGCAACATCGCCACCGCCGTTGCAAAAATTCGGCAGGACCCTCCTGAAAATCGGTCTTGAGACTCGATGGGACATTTCTGGGTAAAAAAGCGTAATAATTCACGCTGTAAGTTTCACTGTCATTTATTGATTAAATGACTACGTCGGATGACCACCATGGAGTCTACCTCGCCTGGTATGCAAGAGGTTGTGAGTTCGATCCCGACCCTGACATCTGTCTGTATATTTGGAGTTTGCGTGTCTCTCTCTCTCTCCCCGTGGTCGCGTGGATTTTTCTCCGGGTCCTCCGGTGTTTCCATCCATATTTGCGTGCGTTTATTGAGAGTATTTAGCATGCTTTACATTTTCCACGCGATAAGCCACTTTGTTGAGCTATCATTTATGGCCAGGCCTCTTCTGAAAGAGCTACCTAGCTCAGTGGGCCTTACCTGGTAAAATAAAATAAAACAAATAAAACATAATAAAATACAATTCTCACGACGTTTCGACCACAACGCAAGCAGCCGTCCTCAGGTGAAGAACAGGTCTGTCGGAAAGACAGCGTCTGACTTGATTTGACCCAGACTGTCTTTCCGACAGACCTGTTCTTCACCTGAGGACGGCTGCTTGCGTTGTGGCCGAAACGTCGTGAGAATTATTTTATAATGTTTTATTTTTATTATTTTATTATTTCCCTTCTACGTGACTTTACCGAAAGAACCAAGAAGATGAATCCTTGCAGTCACTAAAGCTTTAAATCGAAAAAAAAATTTGTTTAGTTTATAGTTTACTGCCGAAAAAAGTTCAGCACAGTGGCGATGTAATGGGTAACGGCTATTTAAGAAGGAACACTGCCCCTTTCACTCCTGCGGTATCTGCGGCGGTTTTCGTTCCGCGAGGAATTCGCCAGTAGCTGGTGGTGACGGAGGAGAGATATCTGGGAATGTCGGTGCGTGACCTCTCCGTCCAAAGACTCGCCAGGCCTGACCCTGCTTAGCAACGGCCCCACGTGATAGAAGCTGTGACGAGATGCAGAGATGACTGCACCCAGTGTCTCTCTGTGTCAACACGGCCTGCTGCTGCTGCTGTTTAGCACAGAGCGGGGGTCTTTATGCTGGGTTCATGAGTGTATGGGTCTCTGCTATAAGCCTCGATGTGGGTATATGGGTCTCAATGTTAATCTATGAGTCTATGCGTATCTACCAAGGGTCTCTGTGTGACTGTGGGTCTTTATGTCATCGAGTCTATGTGTCTCTACTGTGGGTCTCGATGTAACTGGTTGGTTCCATGAGTCTATCATGGGTCTCTGGGTAGTTGTGTGAGTCTACGGTTCTTTACTGTGAGGTTTTATTGGACTCTGTGAGTCATTGAGTCGCTACCATGGGTTCCTGTATGAGTTTATCTGTCCCTACTATAGATCTGTGTGAATAGATGAGGCAGTGGGTCTCGACTATGGGTCCCTATTTGGCTCTGAATCTACAGGTCTCTAAGTGAGTCTGCGGGTCTCCACCGTGGGTCTCTGCGTGAATCTATGAGTAAGATTCGGTCTCTCACAACCACCCAGCCTTGTTTAAAACGCACGTCCAGCAACACTCGGCCGAGGCAGCAGGAAACGGGAGCTGTCTTTGCGTCTTCAGCGAGCGTGAATAAGGCAAAGCGGGCGCTTGTGCACACACTTGCGATTTTGTAAGCGTGGAGGTGAAGTGGCGAGCGGGGGCCGCTGGCTCTGCCGCCCTCCGGCGTTTGCGCAGCCCTCCCCGCTGGTGCTGCCCGTGCGCGTGGACACGCGGGTGCTGCCCGGACTTGCCGGTTTCCAGGGGCAAGCGGCGTGAGGGCGCTTGAGTTCCATTGATGAGCGGGCGCACGGAGTGCCTTGCGTTCTCATCGCCTCGTGAATGTCCAAGAGGCGTGCGCGATGAGCGAGCGGGCGAGTTGGGGCGTTGCTAGGGCACTGCTTCTCCTCCTCAACCTTTTGTTGCGTGGCGGTGGCAGGGTGGTTGGTGGCAGCGTGACGGTAACACTCCTCGCGCCTCACTTGGCGCAGAAGGGGCCTGGGTTCGATTGCCGACTCGGGCGCCTTTCTGTGTTGCGTTTGTACTTTCTCTCCCCGCGCGCGCTGGGAATTCCTGGCCAAGTAACCCCGGTGTAGGAGGAACCTCCTGCGGACGAGTCTTGAGACTCGGCGAGGCTTTGCCGGGTAAACCCAAATGGCATTATTATTTGTAATCAATTGTTGCATTCGGGTACACGGAGGGGAGTCGAGGGAGATGAGAGGGGAGAGGTAGGAGAGTTTGTGGAGGGGAGTGGAGTGAGATGAGAGGGGAGAGGTAGGAGAGTGTGTGGAGGGGAGTGGAGTGAGATGAGAGGGGAGATGCAGGAGAGAGCGTGGAGGGGAGTGGAGTGAGATGAGAGGGGAGAGGCAGGAGAGTGCGTGGAGGGGAGTAGAGTGAGATGAGAGGGGAGAGGCAGGAGAGTTTGTGGAGGGGAGTAGAGTGAGATGAGAGGGGAGAGGCAGGAGAGTGCGTGGAGGGGAGTGGAGTGAGATGAGAGGGGAGAGGTAGGAGAGTGTGTGGAGGGGAGTGGAGTGAGATGAGAGGGGAGAGGTAGGAGAGTGCGTGGAGGGGAGTGGAGTGAGATGAGAGGGGAGAGGCAGGAGAGTGCGTAGAGGGGAATCGAGTGAGATGAGAGGGGAGAGGTAGGAGAGTGCGTGGAGGGGAGTGGAGTGAGATGAGAGGGGAGAGGTAGGAGAGTGCGTGGAGGGGAGTGGAGTGAGATTAGAGATGAGAGGCATGAGAGTGCGTGGAGGGGAGTGGAGTGAGATGAGAGGGGAGAGGTAGGAGAGTGCGTGGAGGGGAGTGGAGTGAGATGAGAGGGGAGAGGTAGGAGAGTGCGTGGAGGGGAGTAGAGTGAGATGAGAGGGGAGAGGCAGGAGAGTGTGTGGAGGGGAGTAGAGTGAGATGAGAGGGGAGAGGTAGGAGAGTGCGTGGTGGAGGGGAGTGGAGTGAGATGAGAGGGGAGAGGTAGGAGAGTGCGTGGTGGAGGGGAGTAGAGTGAGATGAGAGGGGAGAGGCAGGAGAGTGCGTGGAGGGGAGTAGAGTGAGATGAGAGGGGAGAGGCAGGAGAGTGCGTGGAGGGGAGTAGAGTGAGATAAGAGAGGTAGGAGAGTGCGTGGAGGGGAGTGAAGTGAGATGAGAGGGGAGAGGTAGGAGAGTGCGTGGAGGGGAGTGGAGTGAGATGAGAGGGGAGAGGTAGGAGAGTGCGTGGTGGAGGGGAGTGGAGTGAGATGTCTTTTGTCGAGGGGATAACCCCCGCTCCCCCCCCCAGCTGCTCTGCACCACGGCGCCTGTGCGCACGCAGGACGATGAGGATGAGAAGTCTCCGTCAATTTCCCGGCGTGCAGCCAGCGCCGCGTGTTTCGACTCCGTCAGCCGCGCGCCGCGAGCGGGTGATTCATCCCAACGCTCGTTCATCATCTCAGCGGCACAGAATGCGAGCGGAGCCGCCGCCGCCGCTGCTGCTGCTGCTGCTACTACAGACATTTTTGTTCCACGAAGTTAAAATTAAAATTCCGGGCGGCGAGTTCTGCTTTTTTGACGTAACTCACGTCGGCCGGAGGGTCGCCGCGTCGCTGGCGGAAGGGAACGAGCAAACTGGTGGCTCGTTTGACCATACTTCACCGCCCTGGTCGGTGCGGGTCGGTGGGGGGGGGGTGAGGAAGGGTGGGAGGTGGAGGTGGTGCCACAGGATGGGTTCAGATGCCACCCACGGCACTCGTGGTTGGTGCGGTGCGCTAACCGCCGGGCCACCGCTCCACATCCCCACTGGCAGAGGCTTCTGATATGTTTATTAAAACATTTTTCTATTTTAAGATCACACGGTGCTGTTGACGAACGAATGTGTTGCGGTTTTTGTTGATGTTGTTATTTGTGCTTTTGTGCAACCACGTGACATGTAGCAGCAACAGCAGCTGCAGCAGCGACAGCAGCTGCAGCAGCGGCAGCAGCGGCAGCAGCGGCAGCAGCGGCAGCAGCGGCAGCAGCGGCAGCAGCGGCAAATGATTTGTTTCCCGGCTGAATGTGAGGACGTGGGGGAAAGAGACGACGTGGAGCAGTGCGGAAGGAAAGAGCAGAAAGATGATCATCGTTACGTGTGCACGTTGAACTTCTTTCGCACCGTACGTAGCCAACCGTGCTAATCGGAGGTGCGGGGTGGGACAACAAACTGAACACAAAACGCAACTGTAAAGAAACTAGTTTTTAATCGAGGTGATTTGAAAGTGTACAGTTCCAGTGGCTTCCTAACATCGGAAGGAAGAGCGTTCCAGACGGCCGCAGAAGCGCATCTGACCACCGTCTTTGTTCGAGAGCCGCTGCGAGGATGAGCGGACTTTGCCTGATGGTTTACGCTCCTTGACGATATCAGCAAGGGATTGTGGTTCATTTGTGATGAGCACTCTGTGTGTAACGAGCGCAGTCAGTCATCTCACCCCCACCGTGTGAGCCATGACCATTCCACCACTGGCTCTGTAGGGTTGTTGTTAAGCACGAGGTGAACACCAATGCCTCAACGCTCTTTTGAGTTGCAGGGAAATCGCAGTGGCTTTTTAAATCCTTTATATTAAGTTCACTTGGTTGCTTGCTTACGACCGTGTAAATCTTTCGGTCGTTTTTTAACCCACTTCCCGTGATCCATTCGAGCTGACATTTTGCACACAGACTCGTTGTGCGTGTATTTTCGTGAAAAAATTTTTCCAAAATTTTACACTTTTTAGGAAAAAAAAATTATATGTAACTACCAATTGCTTAATGGTGGCAAGCAATCATCTGACCCATAGGTGGCAGCCATCTCAAGCCAGAGGACGAGAGGACTCTAGCCGCCACGCATATAAAGGATTTATAGTGAAAAACTTTGTTTTTACGGGTAAATTTTTTCTAGTCAAGGACGCGGGGAACTGATGGGGAGGAGGATGATGATGATGATTCTGTAACAACACACACACACGCGGACAGACCAGACGTGTGTGTGTTATGTGTGGAGTGTGCCTCTCTCAGCTGTTGGTTTTACCTCCCGGAGCCTGGGCCTGTTTGTACAGCCGTAATCTTTGACAAGCCGGGCGTGAAAAGGGGGCTCGCACACACACACACACACGCGTGCGCGCCCTCATGCACACACGCATACATATCCCCCATGCAGCTTTTCATCGGCGACGGTGGTTTGCCGTGAGCAACAGGAGAGTTGAATTCTAGATTTGAAGCTTTCGTGACTGCAAGGATTCATGCTCTTAGTTCTTTCGGTAAAGTCACGTAGGTAAAAAATGAAATTAAAATCAAGACAAATAAAATGATAAAAATCACGACGTTTCGGAGGCAACACAAGTCTCCGTCATCAGGTGGGACAGTCACAGCCAGATTTTAATTTCAATTTTTTACCTACGTGACTTTACCGAAAGAACTAAGAGTAGGAGAGTTGAACTCAGGACGTCGGGTTTGTTAAGGCTGCCCTGGCACGACACCGCGCCCTGGCCGCCTTTGTCTTCCCAATGCTGATGTTTACACACCGCACCAGGTACTCATTCGAGGCCGAGTCGACCTAGGAGAGGGTCCAGGACCGGTTCACATACTCGCCACGAGTGTTGGCAGTGAGCGGGGGGAATCCAGCGAGCCTGGGTCACCGCGGGTGCATAGAGCAGTGCGCTAACCTCGGCGCCACCACTCCCCACAAAGGCAACGACCCCTTGAACTGTATAACCTCGACAGACTGTTGGGGAAAGTGCTGTTAGCTGTTAGCGGCATTGTGGCACACGAGGGGGTGGGTGGCCAGCACCTCGCCCGGCTGCCTTTGTCTCCCCAGTGGCGATGTTTACATCGCACTGGGTGCTCATTTGAGGCTGAGTCGACCTCGGGGAGGCCCAGGACCGATTCAGATGATCGTCACCGGTGTTGGTGGCCGTGAGCGGGAATCGAACTCGGGTCGCCGGGTCCGTAGGGCAGCGTGCTAAACCATTGCGCTACCGCTCACGCACGCAGACGCACGCACGGAGGAAAACAAGTATTCTGAGCATTTACACCATTGGTACCTCATCTGGTCCAACCCATGTGAGACTAGGCTTTAAGGAAAGCTGTCTCGGGTGTGGACCAATCAACTTCAAGGACAGTGCATACATTATCAGAGTTATGTTTTTTGTTTGCATTATGACTGCAGGTATAGTGGTCTATGCAAACATGACTCCTCGTAAAAAACGGTGTCAGTTTTGTTGCCAGATAATAGGGTTAAAAACCAATTATCAAATAGTCCGAGATCCGAAATTGCGTTCAAAAACACGGGGCTGTGGAAAATGTGTGTAGCTGGAGATTATTTCCAAGCCCTTACTGGGGAACGAGAACGTCCACGTGGCTTTGGGCCGCGGCGGTGAGACCTGCGAAGAGTTATTCTTGCCATAATGGGAGAAGAGTGGCACAGCTTGCGATTGCAGATTATCCCCCTATTGTTGTGCGTCGGTGTCTAGAAAGCACGCCCGGTTTAGCTTCGTGCGTGTCTGGTTCTATGTGTTCGTCCGTGGAGGATGCCCGTGAAGGACGCTGCTACTGAGCTGTTGAAGGCAGTCGCCCCCTCCAACAACAACGGAGGGCAGAGGAGCGATGCTCACAACAATGAGCGGAGCGCCGGGTGGCTAAAACGCAGCAAGTTAGAGTAGGGAGCAACTGCCAGTCATCTCAGGCAGTTAACCCATGGCACCTGCTGGGTCTGTCCCGTGACCTCCTGTCAGTAGCGAGCCTTCCACATGTCACACGATTGCCTCAAAGTGCACCTAGCCTGGTACGAGCATCGTGGTGGCGTTACCGTCAGTGGCGAATGGCAACGATGATTGCGTGTATCGTTGTGCGGATTGGTGGTGTGGTGGTCGATGCGCTACGCTACGATCCTGGCGACCTGAGTTCGAATCACGGCCGTGTACCGTCAGTGGCGAGTGATACCTCTACCCGTGGTCAGTGGGCCTTACCTGGTCAACTACAAATAGTTTTGGTTAAATTTCGATTTAAAGCATTCGTGACTGCAGGGATTCATCTTCTTGGTTCTTTCGGTAAAGTCACGTAGAAGGAAAATAATGAAATAATAAATATTTTTTCATTATATTTTATTGTTTTATTTTATTACTTTATTATTTTCCTTCTACGTGACTTTACCGAAAGAACCAAGAAGAGTTTTGGTTGAGTTTTATCGGTGCTCCCTAGCAGCACCTGCCCCAAACGTTTGTTAAGGTGAGACCGACGATCTTTGTATTTGGTGTGTGTCGTGTCTTGCCAGGGACCTGTCGCACAACAACATCCAGGAGTTGGAGGAGGACGTCCTGTCGCGTGTCGCGCACTCCCTCTCCGTGCTGTGAGTTCTTCGGGCCGGACCGCCCTGGCTCCACGCTCACGCGCACCGAACCCGCCGAACGGCGGCCCCGGTTCCAGTTCGGGTTTTTAACGAGGCCGGGTCTCGGTGCGGGAGAGAAGCACGGAGAGACGCGTGCTCGGGGCGGCACTGAGAGGCAGAGAGAGGAACACGTGGTTTAGAGGACACGCGCACACAGAGGTCAATGTCATCACATTGATCTTCATCGACCATGGTGATCGTGACAGGAGCGTGGAGAAGAGATGCACGCTGGGAATTGCACTGAGAGATGCAGAGAGAGAGGAACACGTGGTTTAGAGGACACGCGCACGCAGAGGTCAATGTCATCACAATGATCTTCATCGAGCAGTGGATAGACCATGGTGATGGTGACAGGAGCGTGGAGGAGAGATGCACGCTGGGAATTGCACTGAGAGATACAGAGAGAGAGGAACAGGTGGAGTAGAGAACACACGCAGGTTTGTGACATCACCACATCGATAGAGCGGCACAGCGAGGAATAGCGATGTATTTATATAGAACTTCTTTCGCACTGTACATAGCCAACCGTGTTAATTAGAAGTGTGGGGAAGCTCAACAAACTAAACACAAAATGTGGCTTCCTAATACCGAAAGGAAGAGCATTCCAGACGGCCGCAAGGGCGCATTTGAAAGCGCCGCGCGATGCCGTGGCCACCGTCTTTCTTCGACGGCTGAGCCAAAAGCCGCCGCCGCCGCTGCAGCGATGACGAGCGGAGTGTCGCGTGACGACGGCTTATGCTCCTTAACGAGATCAGCGCCGAGGTGATTGGTGGTCGCTTCCTGGCCGAGCGCTTTGTGTGTGCGAGCCTCCGTGGGCCGTCACCTGCGGTGAAAGGTGCGTGTCTGTCCGTGCGTCCCGTTGCGTTTCCCCAGGAATCTGACGGACAACAAGATCTTCCGCCTCGGCGTGCACGCCTTCCGCGACATGACCTCGCTGCTCGTGCTGTGAGTCGCGTGTCCGTGCGCCGCCTGGGTCGCGTGCGTCCCGTCTCGTCTGCGACCGCTAAGTTCCGCGTTTCGTCAGTTGTGCAATCTTCCTAAATCGTCGCTCGACGCGTGTTCGCACGCGGCGCGTCACTTACGTTACAAGGCAGAGCGCGAGCGCCGTTACAACGCGGCTTCTCAGCGGAAGACGACGAACTACTTTCTTGAGCTGAGCGGTACAGCGATACGGTACGCGGAGTGATACGGTAACGCGGCGGGGAAATTGTCTCTCGCCACACTCTGTCGCGACGCTATTTATGGGAAAATCGTTTTGTCTTTGCGCGTTTTTCTCCCGCGTAAAATAGCTGGTAAACCATCGGCCGTTGCAAGGAGTCAGATTAATCAGAGATTTGAAAGTTTTCGTGACTACAGGGATATCCATACTCTTTGGTTCTTTCGGTAAAGTCACGTGGGTAGAAAATAAAATAAAAATTCAATCACGACGTTTCGATTGCAACACAAGCAATCGTCATCAGGTGGGAAAACCAGAGCTTGTGTTGCAATCGAAACTTTGTGATTTAATTTTAATTTTATCTTACACCTACGTGACTTTACCGACAGAACCAAAGAGTACGAGTCAGATGAACTCAACAAAGACGTGCTGAGGGCGGCAGGGGGTGGTGGTTCAGTGGCAACGCTCGTGCCTCGCAGCGAGAAGGGGGGCCCTGGCTTCCGTTCCCGACTGATGCCACTTTCTTCGTCGAGTTTGTTTCTTCCGCCCCCCCCCCCCGTGTTCTGCAGAGTGTGAGGAGTGTTGTGCGTGCGTGTGTGCGTGTGTGCGTGCGTGTGTGTGCGTGCGTGCATGAGTGTGTAGAGCGGCGGTGGAGCGGTTAGCGCGCCGCGTTACGAACCCGGCGTCCCGAGTTGGATTCCCGCTCACGGCCGACACCAGTGACGATTATCCGAAACGGCCCTCCCCGAGGTCTATTCAGCCATAAATGAGTACCCGGTGCGCTGTGTAAACATCGCCACCAGAGAGAGACAAAAGCGGCCGGGCGTGGTGCTGGCCACCCACCCCCTCGTGCGCCGCGCTGGCGTTCACAGGCGCTCACTGACAGCACTTGCCCCAACAGTCTGTTAAGGCTACACGGGGAGGGGATATTTGTTTTGTCTTTGCGGGAGAGCCCCGACGGGTGATTAGGCGCGTGAGTGGCGCCCCGTCGCCGGGACGGCACTCCCCGTGTCACGGCCCCGCGGGACGAGCGACGGTTAGCGCGGCGGTGCGGTGCCAGGGTGGCGCGTGTCCTGGGCCGGGCCTGTCGGGACACGCACGCGCCGCCGGGAGGAGCCTCGCTGCCACCGTTGCGACGGCGGCGGTGGTGCGGGGGGGGTGGCGGGGGCCGTTACGCGCGGCGTGCGTGTGTAGGGCGGCGGGGCACAGAGGTTGCAAACGGGTTTTGATTCCTTACCCGTACCCGGCCGCACCAGGGTCGCAAACGGGTACCCGTACCCGGCCGGGTACGGGTACCCGTTCTCTACCCTGACCCGTACCCTTCCCGAAATGAGTGACAAACGGTTACTCACCGGTGACTCACGGCCTACCCGTACCCGGCCGCACCAGGGTCGCAAATGGCTACCCGTACCCGTACCCGGCCGGGTACGGGTAGCCGGGTATCGAGTAGGGTACGGGTATCGGGTACCCGGTTGCGACCTCTGGCGGGGCGGCAACGCTCGCGCCGCCCCCGGAGCAGCGACAGCCTGGGTTCGATCCCCACGTTGGGTTGGCGCCTCGGCGCGTGGAGTTTGTACGTTCTCCCCCCTCCGCCGCCGGTTCCGCGTGGCGTGAGCGAGCGAGCGCGGCCAGCCAGGCCCCCCTTCTATGTCGTCGCTTTAGCGGACGTCGTGTCTCCTCCTCCTCCCGCAGGGATCTGAGCGACAATCAGATCGGCACGCTGCCCAACGGCGTCTTCGACAACCTCACGAGCCTCGCCGTGCTGTAAGTCGCGTCGCGGACTCTGGCCTCTGTGCGACTCCGCCAATCCCCTGCCGAGTGATTTGATTGCCAGCGCATTTCCTTAGATCAACACGCGCGCGCGCATTGTATATCTGTGGACTCAGTTGCTGAGCACAGGCCCGAAACGTCAAACGCCCAGCAACAAGCAGCACTGCTCAGAGATGTAGCCGGTAGGAGTGCCACACGTTTTTCGAATGGAACAAGGTTGTTGTTGCAAGGACTTGGGGATAATACTGGTAGGAACCTCCTGGTTCCACCAGCCCACAAGGGATTATTGTGTCCGTCCGTCCGTCGTGCATCCAAAAATGTGAGGGGTGGGGCTGGGTGGAGAGGGGAGGGTGGGGAGGGGCTGGGTGGGGAGGGTGGGGAGGGGCTGGGTGGGGAGGGGAGGGTGGGGTGGGGCTGGGTGGGGAGGAGCTGGTCACCCCGTGGTGCCCTTATAAAACTCAACATTTGACCTACTCACGCCGGCTTGTGCCCGCCCTCACAGTCGGACATATTTGCGGAATACACCACGCCGCCATTGACCCTGGCCATTGACCGAGCAACCCGACGTTCCTACCTGCTCCCTCCACCTTCCCCATCCAGCCCCTCCCCACCCTCTCCACCCAGCCCCTCCCTGCATGACAGACGGACGGACACAATAATCCCCTGTGGGCTGGTGTAACCAGGAGGTTCCTACCAGTATAACCGTGGCGAATATTTGAAGCGGCACTGGGCCACACCTAGGCGGACTCAGCCTTAAATGAGTACCTGCCACGGCGTGTAAACATCAGCGCCGGTGCTGGCCTCTTCGTGCGCTCTGTCGGCCTTTGTGGACGCTCACGCGAACAGCACTTGCCCCGACACTTTGTGAAGGCTACGGGGGGGGGTGGGGGATCTTCGCCTTTGTCCCGCCCTCACAGGGACGTGAGCGGGAACCCGCTGGACTGCGGCTGTGAGCTGGCGTGGCTGCCCTGGTGGCTGGTGGCGCCGGCGCGCGCTGGCAGAGTGGTACTGGCACGGCCGTTGCGCTCGCTGTGCGCCCTGCCGGACCGCCTGGCCCACACGCCCGTCACCGCCGCCAACTTCTCCAGCGCCGTCTGCGGTAGGTGGCGCCCCGGGGGGACGCAACGCTCGCCGTGCAGTCACCGCACAGACACGTCACGCTCACCACACAGACACGTCACGCTCGCCGCAGAGAATCACGCACGGCAACAAATGGCAGTGATGCTGCTCGTGACGATGCTGCTGCATCTCGTGATGCTGTGCGTGACGATGGTGCATCTAGCAATGCTGTGTGTAACGATGCTGCGTGTAGTGATGTTGTGTGTAACGATGCTATGTGTAGTGATTCTGTGTGTAGCGATGTTGTGTGTGGTGATTCTGTGCGTGACGATGGTGAATCTAGCAATGCTGTGTGTAACGATGCTGCGTGTAGTGATGTGGTGTGTAACGATGCTATGTGTAGTGATTCTGTGTGTAGCGATGTTGTGTGTGGTGATTCTGTGCGTGACCATGATGCATCTAGCAATGCTGTGTGTAACGATGCTGTCCATGACGATGCTGCCTGGTGATGATGATGATGATGCCACCAACCGCCGGACCACGACGTCGTCACAACCGTGATGACGACGACGCCGACGACGATCACGTCGATAGCGACGACGACGACGACGATGACGATGGTGGTCGTGGTGGTCTCACCTGCGCCGTGTCCCCCTGACCCCCCCGCTTGACGCCCAGCTGCCGACTACGTTGCCTGCTTGCGCCCGGCCTCGACGCTCATCTTCTCGGCCGTGGACGAGGACGCGCACGACGAGCTCGGCTGCAACGCCGCGTGCGCCCGCCGCCGCCTCGCCTACTTCTCCTCGGACCCGGCGCTCAACTTCCTGTGCCTGTGCGGCGACGCGGGCGGCTCCCCGCCGGCGGCGCCCGACTGCGCCGCCGTCTGCTCGACGGGCTACCCGGCGAGCCGCGCCGTGTGCGGTCGCGTCGTGGTGGCGCCGCCGGCGCCCGTCCGCTCGGGAGCCTCCTTCCGCGGCCTGCGCCCGTTCAGCGTCTTCGAGACGGCCGAGTTTCGCGCCGCGCCCTGGCACGACCCCGGCGCCGGCTGGCGCGCCCGCTGGGACTTCGGCGACGGGGCGGCGCCGCTGGACGTGGCCGGCGGCGCCGCCGCGCGGCACAAGTTCGCGCTGCCCGGCACCTACGCCGTGACGGTGAGCGTGAGCGGCGGAGGAGGCGGCGGGTCGACCGTCGCCGCGGCGACCAACGTGACGGTGGCGATGCCGGTGCTGCTGCCGCCGGAGCTGCGGTGCCCCGAGGCGGCGCTGACCGGGGGCGGAGGCGGCGTGGCCGCCGTCAGCCGGAGCGGCACCGGCGCGAGGGCCCGTTGGTCCGTGAGGGAGGCGGACGGCACCGTCCGGCGCGGTGAGTCACCGGGTTCCCGTTCTGCCGGCGCCACAGGTCACGGCGTTCGTTCACGGTCACGGGCACGGCATTCGTGGGCGCCGCTTCCTGACGGCGCCTGCCTCGACATTCCATTAGAGACTACACGGGGATCTTTGTCTTTGTTTCGTGTGTCGGCGTGTCCGCCGACCGTCGTTAACGCAGCTGCTGCCCCTGCCACCCGCACGCCTCCCCGGCTGCCCTCGTTGAGCTCCCGTGTCACGTTTTACGGCAGTGACCAATGGGCAGGCGAGGTGACAGGGCACTTCCCTAGCAAAGCGCACTCAACAACACACGCACAACACACACACAACACACACACACAACACACACAACACACACACAACACACACACACAACACACACTCAACACACGCACACAACACACACACGCACACCACACGCGCACTCAACACACACACAACACACACACACAACACACACACACACAACACACACAACACACACACAACACACACACAACACACACTCAACACACACTCAACACACACACACAACACACACACGCACAACACACACACTCAACACACGCACAAGACACACACACAACACACATACACGCGCACTCACACAACACACACTCAACACACACTCAACACACACGCACAACACACACGCACAACACACACGCACAACACACTCAGACAACACACACGCACAACACACACAGACAGCACTCACACGCGCACAACACACACACACACAACACACACTCAACACACACACGCGCAACACACACGACAAGACACACGACAAGACACACACACGCAATACACACACACGCAACACACACACACAACACACACGTACAACACACACACGCGCAACACACACGCGCAACACACACACAACACACGCACAACACACACACACGCAACACACATACCACAACGACGACGACAACCGACCTTCACTACTAAGTGGCGGCGACATCACCACACCGCTTGTGCCAGCCTAGGTGCACCTTGAGGCCCTCTGCAGGCAGGAGGTCATGGGACAGACCCAGGTGCCATGGGGTTGACTGCTGTGCCAGGCTTGGTGCAGGAGGTCATGGGACAGGCCCAGGTGCCATGGGGCTGACTGCTGTGCCAGGCTAGGTGCAGGAGGTCATGGAACAAACCCAGGTGCCATGGGGTTGACTGCTGTGCCAGGCTAGGTGCAGGAGGTCATGGGACAGACCCAGGTGCCTCGGGTTGACTAACTGAGATGACTGGCAGATGCACCACCTCTGCTTCCTACTGTGCCACCTTGCCGCGTTTTATCCGCCCGGCGCTCTGCTCATTGTTGTGAGCGTCACTCACGTACACGCACATTCTCCCACTCACTCATTCACACTCACCCACTCAGGCAGTCACTCACCCACACAGCCAGCCACCCAACCACCCACTCACTCACTCACCCACCCAGCCAGCCACCCAACCACCCACTCACTCACCCACCCACTCAGCCACCCACCCACCCAACCACCCACTCACTCACCCACTCACCCACCCAGCCACCCACCCACCCAACCACCCACTCACCCAACCACCCACCCACCCACTCACCCAGCCATCCACCCAACCAGCCACCCACTCACTCACTCACCCACCCAGCCACCCACCCAACCACCCACTCACTCACCCACCCACTCACCCACCCACCCATCCACCCAACCAACCACCCACTCACTCACCCACCCACCCACCCACTCACTCACCCACCCAGCCATCCACCCAACCAACCACCCACCCACTCACTCACCCACTTAGCCACCCACCCAACCACCCACCCACTCACCCACCCACCACACTGCAGGTCACCTCGCCTCTCTATCTGCCTCTTCCCTCACGCTGCTCCACTCACGGAATCCTCTCCTTTTCAAAACTTCTAAGAGCCTCGTTAAAAAACCCTGAAGCCATTTCAACTCCGTTCGCTGCGTGCGGCTTGACATTTTGTTCCCACCTGGGCCTGTGCTCAGGATCTGCGTTGAACACAGATGCACGGTGCCTATCCATAATGCATAAACACGCAGCATGCACCAAGCGTGTATCGGATGCTGCGTCGTAGTCACACCATCACGCGGCAACCCGAGTTAGCGCCGACAAATGCTGCCCCCCCCCCGCGCATCTCTCCCCCTCTGTCCACGCAGCGCGGGTGGGGGATGTGCGTGTGTGTGTGCTCGTGTTGTTGTGCGAAGAGCTTGCGTCGCCACGGCTACGGAGCGACGGAGACGCTCGCTCGCTCGCTCTTCCCCGTTGACTCTGGGTTTTTTTTGTTGCTGCTGCCTTTCTTTTCTCCCCTCCACTCACTCTCTCTCTCCTTTTTTCTTTACATCCGAAGGTTTCCGAGTTCAGCAGTTCAGCGCCGTGCATGGCAGAGTGGCAGAGTGGGAAAACAAGCGGCTACGGCGCACGTGCAACGTGGGGAGCGGCGGCGCAGCGGTTAGCGCGCGCCGCGCCGCGGACGTGGCGACCCCGAGCTCACGGCCAATTATAGTGGCGAATATCTGAACCGACCCTGGACCCTCCCCTATGTAGACTCGGTCTCAATTGAGTACCTGGTGCGCGGTGTGTAGTAAACGTTGCCTCCCACTGGGGAGACGAATGCTGGCCACCTACCCTCTCGCGTGCCGTGCCGGCCTTCACAGGTGCTGCTGCTCGCGAACAGCGCTTGCCCCAACGGCCTGTTGCCTGTGTCGCGCGTCGTTCATCGCGCGGCACGGCGCAACGTGCGTCGCGTTGATGGCCAAGCGTCTCCATATAGGACCACAGAGTTCGGGTGATTAATCTTAATTTTAGAACTTTCGTGACTGCAGGAATTATTATTTGGTTCTTTCGGTTAAGTCACGTCTAAAGATAAAATAAGAGACGATCACCCCTCTCTGTTACCTGCTCTCTCTATGTATGTTGGTGATATCTGTCTGCTAATATGTCTGTCTGTAGTTTTCTGGTTAGATTTTATGTCGCTATGTCATTATACCTGATGATGATTGCTTGTGTTGCAATCGAAACGTCGTATGCTATTATTTAATTTAATTTATTATTTTATCTTTACACGTGACTTTACCGAAAGAACCAAATAATAGTTTGGGTGATTGTCGGTGGCGCCGCTTCTCTGTCCCAGGGGCCTTCGCCTGTGCAGCACCCACGCCTTTGGAGAACGTCCTCATTGATCAGTCCGACTGTTCCACACTCACCACCGCTCGCAACTCGGCCGTTGCCACGTGCTCGTGTCTGTCGCCGTGCGGCATCGGCGATGACGCTGTGAGCCACGCGCACGTCCCGGTGTTCTGCCAAGGTGTGGGGTTTTTTTTTACGTCACCGCAAAAGAAACTCGACGAAATCTGTAAATTAAAACTGTTCAACTAAACTAAATAAATAATGAAATAATATTAATATAAAACAATTAGAATTCTCACGACGTTTCGACTGCAACACAAGCAATCATCATCAGGTGTGGAATCCACAGCAAGAACATTTGAAAATTTGAAAATTTTCTTGCTGTGGATTTCACACCTGATGATGATTGCTTGTGTTGCAGTCGAAACGTCGTGAGAATTTTTATTGTTTTATACTTATATAATTGTATTATTTCCCTTCTACGTGACTTTACCGAAAGAACAAGAATATGAATCCCTGCAGTCACGAAAGCTTTAAATCAAAATTTAAACTAAATAAATTAAACCATCATTTATTTTAGCAGGTAAGGCCCCACTGGGCCATACGGCTCTTTTGTCAGAAGCGACCTGGCCACAAATGAGACCTCAACGAAGTGGCTCATCATCGTGTGAACATTTATAGCAGCCAAATACTCTAAACGGGGAGAGAGACACGCAAACTCCAAATATACAGCAGCAGCAGGCGTCAGGGTCGAGATCGAACCCATGATCGCCTGCATACCAGGCGAGGTAGTTAACATTTCCTAGCCACCGTAATGATGATGAGAGAGAGAGACACCGCAAACTCCAAATATACAGCAGCAGCAGGCGTCAGGGTCGAGATCGAACCCACGATCGCCTGCATACCAGGCGAGGTAGTTAACATCTTGCAATCGCGGCCCCCACTGCCACTGCCCGGCTTTATTATTTACCCACCAAAGCCTCGCCGAGTCTCAGGTCTTCAGAATCCGGTTCAGAATATTCCGGTGAGCTATGAAGTCCGGTAGTGTTCAGGAGGGATATTGCTGCTGCTGCTGCTACATTGGGAAGTTACGATTGCCGCTCGCGCTCTACTGCCGGATTGTGGAGAGGCAAATATGGCACTTAGGGGGCGGGGGGTGCGGGGGGCCCGGAGGCGGACTTTATTTATTTATTTGTTGCGTCCCCCGCTCGGCATTCTGGTCCCTTGGGGTACCGAGCGAGAGGCGCCCCCCACGGGAGGGAGGGGTGGTGGGGGGGGGCCCGTTTCTGTCAGTGTCCGGGAAGTCTTTTATTGGGCAGATTTACACGCGACCTCTGCCCCCCGCCCCCCCCCCCCCCGTCTCCAGCTCTGTTACGGGGGCCGTCGAATCTTATAAAGGGGACGGTGGCGTCTTTACCTCGCTAGGATACGGCCCGTCGCCCGGCAACTGTGTTAGACCTTTTTAAAGGTTGCCCCCCTCTCCCCATCCCCCCCTCTCCTTACCACCCCCGCCCCCCACTAAGATCACCGCGAGCGTCAGGCCGCCGTGTATTCGCAGAGCCCGCCGCGGTGACTCGGAGCACCGGGGGGGGGGGGGGGGGGGGGGGGGGTGGGCGATCTTAAGGAGCGTGGCCGTGAAGCGGCGGATATCGTCGCTTGACCATTCGTGTTGCGCCCTCGCTCAAGGCGCCTTAACGCAGCTCCGCGGGCGGCGCGATGAACCAATGGTTTCGGTGGTGGCGGCGGCTGTGCAGGGCAAGGCCTGGGGGGAGTGGTTGGCCCCGTCGGAGGGTGCGTAGGGGTCACCAGAGGTTAGGGGAGGGACGGGGAGGAAGTGGAGGGGCGAGGGGAGAGACGGAGAGTGCGCGCACATACGTACGTTTCACTTCCGTCGCGCCGCACGTAGACAACCGCACTGAGGCATTGGCACGGCGATTCACTATCCTGCTACTCGCGACGCAGGCGGCAGGCTCAAACGTCTCGGTGTAAATTATTCACAGCTGTTGCGCTACGCCAAGACCCACAGACTCACACAGAGATCTACAGACTCACAGAGGCCCATAGACTCACACAGAGACCCATAGACTCACACAGAGATCTATAGACTCACAGAGAACCATAGTCTCACAGAGAGAACCATAGACTCACACAGAGACCCATAGACTCACACAGAGACCCATAGACTCACAGAGAGAACCATAGACTCACACAGAGACCCATAGACTTACACAGAGACCCATAGACTCACACAGAGACCCATAGACTCACACAGAGAACCATAGACTCACACAGAGAACCATAGCCTCACACAGAGACCCATAGACTCACACAGAGACCCATAGACTCACACAGAGACCCATAGCCTCACACAGAGACCCATAGACTCACACAGCGACCCATAGCCTCACACAGAGACCCATAGACTCACACAGCGACCCATAGACTCACACAGAGACCCATAGACTCACACAGAGACCCATAGGCTTCCACAAAGATCTATAGACTCACACGGACACCCATAGACTCAAACGGAGACGTTTAGACCCACGAAGATTTCTACATATTCACACAGATACTCGTAGACTAATACAGAGAATGAAAGAGATATACACGAAGGAGAAGACATCATCACAGCGGCGATTACCACGCCCCTCCTCCTGACTCCACAATCATCTGGACTCTTCGACCACCTCGGCCGCCGCTCCGCACCGTTCACAAGACCGGCCACCGCGCAGAAGAGAACCCATGGCACGCGCCGTGCCGACGGAGCAACGACGGGGGACGTCTTCTCGGTTCTTTCGGTGATGTCACGTAGAAGGGAAGTAATACAATAATAAAAATAAAACACAATAAAATAATTCTCACGACGTTTCGGCCACAACGCAAGCAGCCGTCCTTCTTCGCCTGAGGACGGCTGCTTGCGTTGCGGCCGAAACGTCGTGAGAATTATTTTATCATGTTTTATTTTTATTATTTTATTACTTCCCTTCTACGCGACTTTACCGAAAGAACCAAGAAGATGAATCCCTGCAGTCACGAAAGCTTTAAATCGAGACGGGGGACGTATTGCGTGAAGCGGTGCCGTCAGGGCTGGCGGGCTGGCGGCGTTGCGGTGGAGTGGGGGTGTAGAGGGGGGCGCTAGCGGCAGGCTTATCATCGCTGGCCCGGGGTCGGGGGTGCGTGGGGTTCCTCCTCCGGCGGTGCGTTACGTCACGAGCGGTGATGATTCACACACGCGCGCATTCCTTCCCCCGCTTGGCTGGCGGCGGGCCCTGTCGTTTGCGTGCCCCAGGGATCGGAACCGGTGTTCAGTGTTTATCCTGGAGATGGGAAGGGAGAAAACGAGGTTGTTCCCAATCGTTGGCGCTGCTACGGCAAAGGGGCTTCGTCACCCGCTCCTGTTCGTGTTCCCGGGATCGTTGAAAGGCAATTAGTTTGGACGTCTTACTGGTAATAACCTCCTGGTTACACCAGCCCACAGGGGATTATTGTGTCCGTCCGTCGTGCATCCAAAAATGGGATGGGTGGGGCTGGCTGGAGAGGGGAGGGTGGGGAGGGGCTGGGTGGGGAGGGAAGGGCTGGGTGGGGAGGGAAGGGCTGGGTGGGGAGGGGCTGGGTGGGGAGGGAAGGGCTGGGTGGGGAGGGGAGGGCTGGGTGGGGAGGGGAGGGTGGCTGGCAGGAGGTCACGGGGCAGACCCAGCAGGTGCCACGGTCGACTGACTGAGATGACCGAGACGACTGGCTGATGCACCACCTGTGCCCCCTGCTGTGCCAACACACACACACACCGACACACCGCCACCTAACCCCCAAAAACCACCGGTGCCGTTCTGTCCCCGTCGCCGCAGACTCTCCGGCGTGTCCCGCTGGGGGCCGCACGAGCGCCGACGCCGACGCCGACGACGCTGAAGGGGGGCGGCCCTGCTTCCTGCTGGTGACCGCGCCGGCAAGCTGGCACGACGCCCGGGCCCAATGCCGGCGGAGTCCCGGCGGGGACCTCGCCGTCGTCGCCGACGACGCCACGCAGCGGCTGGTGACGGCGCTCTCAAACAGGTCCGTGGGGGGGGCGGTGGTGCCGAGCGCAGGCTCGTGCGGAGCGCCGACAGGCTCGCACGGGCTGTGATTTGGCGTCGCCGTGGCGAGCGTCGGCGGGGTTTGCCGGCACGTTCGTGCGAAACTCGCGAGCGCCAATCGGTCTCCTCCGACGCGGAGCCAAGGGCTCGCTCGCAGAAGCCATGGCCAAACATCGCAATGTTTAAACTGTTTAAACATTTTTGATTTAAAGCTTTCGTGACTGCAGGGATTCGTATTCTTGGTTCTTTCGGTAAAGTCACGTAGAAGGGAAGTAATAAAATAGTAAAAATATTAAACAATCAAAATTCTCACGACGTTTCGACTGCAACACAAGCAATCGTCATCAGGTGTGAAATCCACAGCAAGAAAATTTAGAAAAAGTGGCGTTTTTTTCTAATTATTATTTTATTATTTCACTTCTACGTGACTTTACCGAAAGAACCAGGAATATGTTTAAACATTATTTTGTTATTTTACCAAGTAAGCGACCTAGCCATCACAAACGATTCCTCAACGATGCTGCAGGTCAACTTCCCGATGAAAGACGACAAACTAAACGCAACAAAAAACAGTTCTGAAGAAATGAGTTTGTCGATCTAGATGATGATGTAAAAGTTGCATAGCTCCAGTAGCTGCCTAACATCAGACGGAAGAGCGTTCCAGACGGCCGCGGAAGCGCATCTGAAAGTGCCGCGCGACGACGCGGTGACCGCCGCCTTTGCTCGACGGCTGAGCAGCCAAAAGCCGCCGCCGCTGCTGCTGCTGCTGCTGCCGCTGCTGCTGCTGCTGCTGCCGCTGCTGCTGCCGCTGCTGCTGCTGCTGCTGCTGCTGCTGTTGATGCTGCTGCCGCCACTGCTGCTGCTGCTGCTGCGAGCAAGAGCGAAGTAATCTAGACTTGATGTTTCCGTGACTGCAGGGACGATCATTTATGTTGCTTGACGAGATCGGCAGCGAGGTGATTGTGGTTCACTTGTGGCCAGCACTTTGTGTGTAACGAGTGCGACCTTACACTGTTGCAGCACTTGACCCAACAGCCCGTGGAGGCTTCAAGGGGGATCTTTGTCTGTGCCACCTGTGACGGCAGCTCTAGTGTGTGGCTGGGATTGAGCGACACGGAGTCTCCGGGCACCCTGCTCTGGGCGGACGCCCGCACGTCTGAGCGGTTCGAGGTGTGGGCGACTGGCGAGCCCAGCATGATGCAAGGTGGGGTGCCGCTCGCGTGAAAGTACCGCCCCGTGGCGGTGGTGTTGGTGGCGATGGTGCGGTGGTGGCGGCAGTGGTATTGATGATGAGGGACGGCGGTGGTGGTGATGGTGGCGGTGGTGTTGGTGGTGTTGGTGGCAATGGTGCGGTGGTGGCGGCAGTGGTGTTGATGATGAGTGGCGGCGGTGGTGGTGGTGGTGATGGTGGCGGTGGTGTTGGTGGTGTTGGTGGCAATGGTGCGGTGGTGGCGGGAGTGGTGTTGATGATGAGTGGCGGCGGTGGTGGTGGTGATGGTGGCGGTGGTGTTGGTGGTGATGGTGGCAATGGTGCGGTGGTGGCGGCAGTGGTATTGATGATGAGTGACGGCGGTGGTGGTGGCGGCGATGGTGGCGGTGATGGTGGTGACAGTGGTGTATCGGCGATGGTGATGGTGGTGCAAGGGTGGGGGAGCGGCGCTTACAACGAGCGAAGCGTCGGGTAACTAAAATGCGGCAAATTGGCAGAGTAAGGAGCACAGGTGGTGCATCTGCCGGTCATCTCGGTAATCGACCCGTAACACCTGAGTCTGTACCGTGACCTCTAGCCAGCAGCGTGGTGACGTCACCGGGACTTAGTGGCGAATGACGGCTGCTGTTGTTGTTGGCGGTAGTGATGGCTGGTGGTGTCAATGACGATGGCAGCGATGGTGCTGTTGTTGGTGATGACGACGACGGAGGTGGTAGCGACCTTTGACTGCTGTGCAACGTTGCCTTCGGCTGCGCGTCCCCTCCGGCGATCGTCTCCACGGCCGCCACCCACCATGACGCGTCCTGCCCTCGCCTCCCGCTTACTCTCCCGCCGCGTTCTGAACTGTCAGCGCGACGTCTCTGAACTCGCGTGCGCTGCTAGCACAGCCGCGCTGGGGAGCGGGGGGTTGGGGGGAGCGACCTTTTGACCCCGCGTGCGTGACCCCTGCAGACCCGGGCCCCGGCGGGCGGTGCGTGCGAGCCATCGCGAGCCAGCACGGCCGCTGGGGAACGGAGAACTGCGCCGAGCTGCTGCCGTACGTGTGCCGCTACGAGCCGGGAGGTGAGCCGCCGCGGTCGCCGCTTGTCACGCACCTCGTTCACGACGCGCCGGATCCGCCGAACTCGTATGGATGGCTGAAAAGTCTGGATAGCCTAAGATTCCGGCTCACCACTATTTCAACAACAACACCAATGTAAAACCACAGTGGCGACCCTGTAATCCATATTCATCTATCAATGAGCAAAACCCATCTAAGGCCTGAGAAGACACGGAGTCTTCGACACACGCGGTTTGAAGGAACGAACAAACAAGTGCAGTTCACGTGAACGATAGCGGTTAGCTATAGAATCAGAATATGTATTTATCCTCGAGGAATCCGATGAACCTTAAAGTTCTTGTTCACAGACGCCCAGTAGGGTCACGGGGTTAGAACATTACAATACAACAACACGATACGGAGCCACCTGACCGCCGGCGAGCGAGCGAGTGACGGGGTCATCGGTCAAGCCGGCCGCCTTGAGGCTGTCCTGACGCCGTGGTGATGTCGCCACCACCCCCCGCCCCTCCCCCAGTGTCTGTGGAGGACGTGCGATTCTTCCTGCTGGGGTCGCCGGCTTTCACCGCTCACCTGCCCGTCGCCAACGTCACCGTGACAGAGGACCCAGCGTCCACGCCGGCCTCCAGCGTGCAGGTTCGAGAGAGACGGGGGGGGGCAGGGGGCAGAGCGGTGACTGTGACAAAGATCCCCCGTGTAGCCTCAACAGACTGTCGGGGCAAGTGCTGTCAGCGAGTAGCAGCGCCTACGAAGGCCGGCACGGCACACGAGGGGGTGGGTGGCCAGCACCACGCCCGACCGGTTTAGATAATAATCATCACCGGCGTTGACCGTGAGCGGGAATCGAACTCGGGTCACCGGGTTAGCAGCGCGCTCACTGCTCCACTACCGCTCCACATCAGCAGCCCAATCCAGATGTTAGTCACCTTCCTGGTCGCACGCCAGAGGTCGCAAACGGGTACCCGATACCCGTACCCTACCCGATACCCGGGTACGGGTACCCGTTTGCGACCCTGGTGCGGCCAGGTACGGGTAGACCGTGAGTCACTGGTGAGTAACCGTTTGTCACTCATTTCCCAACGTCTTGTCTCTTCTCACAATTCAAGTTCCTAGAATCAACCCACCCGCGCCTGCAACATGGCTTCATCCCAGAGGTCGCAATCAGGTACCCGATACCCGTACCCTACCCGTACCCGGCCGGGTACGGGTAGGGTACGTGTACGGCCGGGTACGGGTACGGGTACCCGTTTGCGACCCTGGTGCGGCCGGGTACGGGTACGGGTACGAGGGGTAAGGAATCAAAACCCTTTTGCGACCTCTGTCGCACGCATGTGGGAGCAGTGTGCGTAGTGATCGGTGGCGCAGCGGTTAGCGCACTGCGCTACGAACCCGGTGACCCGAGGTTCGACTTCTGCTCACGGCCAACGTCGGCCCTCCCCTCAGGTCCGACTCAGCCTCACACCAGCGCCCGGTACGTTGCGTGAGTAAACATCGGCACCGGGTGGATAACGGTGGCCCGGTTACGGCGTCATGACCACGCCGTGCCCTCGCGCGCCATGCCGGCCTTTCGCAGGCACCCCGCTGACACGTTGTCCCCCCTCCCCCCCCCCTCGTGCTACCCTCACGCCCCCCCGAACCCGCTGCCCCCCCCCCCCCCACCCAGGTGATGGTGTTCCCGGGCCTGTGGTTTGCGCATGGCGGCGTGGTGCGGTCGCTGGAGGTGGCGGTGCTGCAGCGACGCTCCGCCGTGCAGCTGCGGCTGCAGGTTGTGCGGCCGCACTGCGGGCCGGGCCTTTCGCTCTCCCTCCCCGGTACGGGGGCCTCGCACGGGGGGGGGGGGGGGGGTAACACTGAGCAACAGGGGTGATTGGGCAGCTGGTGGTAGTGAGGGGGAAGGAGCTGGTGTAGGGGGTGGTTGGGAAGCTGGTGGTAGTGGGGGGGAATGAGTTGGTGGAGGGGGTGGTTGGGAAGCTGGTGGTAGTGGGGGGGAATGAGCTGGTGGAGGGGGTGATTGGGCAGCTGGTGGTAGTGGGGGGGAAGGTGCTGGTGGAGGGGGTGATTGGGCAGCTGGTGGTAGTGGGGGGGAATGAGTTGGTGGAGGGGGTGATTGGGCAGCTGCTGGTAGTGGGGGGGAAGGAGCTGGTGATTGAGGCCTTCATTCGTGAACCAGCGTGGTGGTGATAACAACAAGAACTGTAACAACAGAACGGGTCCGAGTGCGTGAACGTCCTCTCCCCGGCGCGTGTGCAGGCTGCGCTCGCTCCTGGTCCCCGTTCTCCACGTGCGTCGCTGACGCCGCCGACGCCTGCAACGCGACGGCGGGCCCTTGTGCGCCGGGCCTGCAGTGGTGCCGCTTGTCGGCAGCCTGCGTCCCCGTGGGGCGGCCTTGCGGCGCCGGCGATCCCGCCGCGACCTCTCCGCCGGCGTCGTCGTCGGCTCCGTCGGCTCCGTCGACATCGACGGCGTCGTCGCAGCGGTGGACTCCGCCGGCCTACGCCGTGGTGCGGGAGGTGGTGGTTCTGCTGGACGCCGGCGAGGCCACGCACGCGAACGTGAGCCGACGCAGGGCGGTGGCGGCGCCCGACGCCACTAGCCACGCGCACACGACGGCAACACCCGCCATCGCAGCAGGGGCGTGTGCGCTCGCGCGGGCTGGGCACAGACACGGATCGCTGCACGCAAAGGGGTTGGTGGGTGGTTGGGTTTAGGTGTGGATGGTTGGGTGGGTGGGTGGTGTAGTGGTTGGGTTTTGGTCGGTGGGTATCGGTAGGTGGTGTTGGCCACCCACCCCCTCGTTTGCCATGCCAGCCTTTATAGGTGCTCGCTAACAGCACTTGCCCCTACAGTCTATTAAGGCTATACGGGGGAGCTTTGTCTTTGGGTTTTGGTGTGGATGGTTGGATGGGTGGGTTTGGGTGGGTGGGCGGGTTCGGGTGTGGGTGGGTGTGTAGGTTTGGGTGGGTGGGTGGGTGGCACAACTTCCATCCGTATACCTTGCGAGCTGTCACGTGACCACATTACCACTGCACCAGCCCACCGGTAACGGCCGCTACCGCTAGCACCACCGCGAACGCCGCCGCCGCCAGTGCCGCAAGCGCTGGAGCCCACCCTTAGCGTTGCTCCCCCCCCCCAGATCGTGCTGGGCCCCGCGGGACTGGAAGTCTCGCCGGACCTCGTGCTGGCGCTGCAGCACGACGCCGGCGCCCCTCTGCTCGACTGCCCTCCCTCGGCCCCGCCGTCTCCCTGGCGGCAGGCCTGCCTCACCCGCGACCGCCCCGCCGGCTGGGCGCCCGCGAACCTGTCGGCCGGCGTCGCCGACGACGGCGCCGGCGCCTGGCGGCTGCGCGACGGCTGCGCCTGCGACCTGCGAGCGCTCTACACCGATGGCGCCAGCCTCCCCTCCCTGGACGCCGCGCTGGCGTCGGCGGCCGCGCGGCCCGGCGCGCGCACCTACAACGCGAGCCTCGGCAACCCCGTCGGCGCCGGCGGCGACGCCGGCTGCACGGTGGAGTTCCGTCCGCCGGTGTCGGGGCTGAGGCTGGCGAGCCCGCGGGCCAAGGTTGCCGGCGGCGCCGTCTACGTGAACGTGTCGGCCGGCTCCCCGTTCGTGTTTCGCGTCGACGCGGGGTCGGGCGCCGTCCTGCGCTGGCTCCTGAGCGGCGCCCGCGGCGTCTCTGACGGCGCGGCGGCGTTCTCGGCGGCGTGCCCGGCCGAGCTGACGGCGGCGCCGGCGACGTCGGCGGCTGCGTCCCCGTCGACGACGTCCCAGGCGTGCGCCAGGCTGGGCGGCGAGTTCGCGGCGCTGCGGGCGCCGGTGCGGGAGGCGGGGACGTATTCGCTGCGGGCGAACGCCAGCAACGGGCTGAGCGAGGAGAGCGCCGTCGTGACGGTGCAGGCCGAGCAGCCCGTCGCCGGGCTCGCCATGCTGCCCGCCGGCAGCGGCGCAGGCGCGCAGAGGGTGCTCGTCGACGTGACGCTGGTACGCGGCGTCCTGTGGGGTCGTGGGGGTCGCACGGGGTCACGTGGGGTCACGCGGTGTCATGTGGAGTCACGCGGGGTCATGAGGGGGGTCACGTGAGGTCACGTGGAGGTCACGTGGGGGTTACATTGAGGTCACGTGAGGATCACGTGAGGTCACGTGGGGGTCACGTGGGGGTCACGTGGGGTCATGTCTCCTGGTAGAGCCAGGGGTACGGCGCCCACTCACCGGTTAAAGGGAGGGAGTGTCACCAAAATCCGTGTGCAATCCACCAACCCTCGCCGCTGCCTCCACAGCGCCGGATCACAGGCGGCCGGTTAATTGATCGGTAATTCCGGGCGTTCCTCGTTCTCTGCGATTCCTACTCGTTGTCTTCAAACCCAGCGCAACGAGGATGATGACTGGGGGTGGTGGAGGGGGGGGGGGCGGTGGGAGATGTCCACCTGCCTGAGATGTGCCTCCCTCCCTCATCCCCTCCCCTCGCTCCCCTCCCTCCCTCCTCCCCTTGCTCCCCCTCTTCTCTCCCCTCCCTCCCCTCTCATCCTCTCCCCTCCCTCCACCTCTCCCTCTTCACCCTCTTCACCCTCTCCACCCTCTCCCCCCGCCCCCCACCCCCCAGGTGTTCTCAGCGAGGGTGGCGGAGGGCACGTCGGTGACGTACACGTGGGTGCTGGACGGCCTCGCCGTCTTTGCGTACAACAGCCAGCAGTACAACCTGGTGTTCCACAACCCCGCCGTCTACCGCCTCAAGGTGCCTCACAAATGGGAGTCCACCGTACCACCGCACCACCGCACCACTGTTCAACCGCACTACCGGCCAACCACAACACCGCCCCACTGCCCGACCACACCACTGCCCCACTGCACCACTGTCCCACAGCGGTACAACCCCACCGCACTACCGCACCACCGCCAAAGTGTCTCACCGCCTTACTGCTTCACCGCACCACCACTCAACCGCACCACCACACCACCACACCACCACACCACCACAGCACCGCTCGACCACACGACCGTCCCACCATACTGCTGACAAAGCATCTGACCGCCCTACCGCCTCACCGTACCGCCGCTCAACCACACCACCGATTCACCGCACCACCACCCCCACCGCCCCCCCGCCACCTGCGCTGACGCGCCGCACCGCGCCGCGCCGCCACCCTGGGTTTGTCGCCGGCGAGCCAGGTGACGGCGGAGAACGCGGTGAGCCGCGAGTGGGTGGAGGCGGAGATCCACGCGGACACCAGGAACCCGCTGGCCGCCCTCGCCCTTCTGGACGCGCCCGCCGTGGTCCCCGTCAACGGCAGCCTCCAGGTGGCCGCCACCGTCAGGGTGGACGCCAACGTGGCCGTCCTTTTCCGGTGGGTGTGGTGGTGGTTGTTGTTGTGGTTGTTGTTGTTGTTGTTGTGATGATTGCGCTTGTTTGTCCCAGGAGAGCCTCGGGATGAACAGCAACATGCATCTCGCGCAGCGGCGGCGAGATGTTAACAACCTCGCCTGGTGTACAGAAGGTCGTGGGTTCGATCCCGACCCTGACGCCTGCTGCTGTATATTTGGAGTTTGCGTATCTCTCTCATCATCATCATCACGGTGGCTAGGAGATGTTAACTACCTCGCCTGGTGTACAGGAGGTCGTGGGTTTGCTCCCGACCCTGACGCCTGCTGCTGTATATTTCGAGTTTGCGTGTCTCTCTCTGTGGTGAGATGTTAACTACCTCGCCTGGTATACATGAGGACGTTGGTTCGATCCCGACCCTGACACCTGCTGGATATTTGGAGTTTGCGTGTCTTTTCTCCCCGTGGCCACGTGGATTTTTCCCTAAACGTCACACGTTTAGAGTATTCTTTCATTGGGCTATCATTCGTGATGGCCCAGGTCCCTTCTGAAAAAAGAGCTCAGTGAGCCTTACCTGGTCAAAGAAAAATTGTTCATAGTTTAATTTCTACTACTTTGTTATTGCGTATAATTGTGTGTCCCTGCAGCTGGTGCTTTGGGGACGGCAGCGCTAACGTCACATGGAGGGCGAGCCCGCCATACGAGGCCTGGCTGCCCAGGCCCGAGCCTGGCGTGGAGCGGGTCCTTCTGCGGCACAACGTGACGCACACCTACACCGAGGCTGGTGAGGCCGGGACCGGCGGATACATGCGCACGCACGCACACAGCACCACCACACCGCCAATCGCAACAAAGACATCTCCCCGTGTAGCCCTAACAGACTGTTGGGGCAAGTGCTGTTAGCGAGCGGCGGTAGCTATGAAGGCCGGCACGGCACACGAGGAGGTGGGTGGCCAAACACCACGCCCGGCCGCCTTTGTCTCCCGAGCGGCGATGTTTACACACCACACTGGGTACTCATTTGAGGTTGAGTCGACCTAGGGGGGGGGGCTCAGAACCGTTTCAGATAATCGTCACTGGTGTTGGCCGTGAGTGGGAATCGAACTCGGGTCGCCGGGTTCGTAGCGCAACGCGCCGACCCCCGCACTGCCGCTCCACCCACACACACGTACGCACACGAAGAATCCACTGCGATGGTCCAATCGTCGTCGATTACGTAAGCCGGCGCGTGTGCTCGTGCCAGGCTCAGTGAACCTCTCCGTGGAGGCGATCACGGACCGCGAGCACCTCCAGACGGTCAGCACCATCGACGTGCGCTCGCCGCTCACCGCCGTGCTCCTCCGGCTGGTGCCCGCCGGCGCCGCCGTGCCCGGAGGGGAGCCGTCTCTCGGCGTGGTGCCGGCCGACGTCCCCGTCACCTTTGAGGCGGTGGCCGTGCCCGGCGGCCACGGAGTCGTCTACACATGGGACCTGGGGGACGGCTCGCCGGCGCGGGACGGCGCCGGCAGGGTGACGCACGCCTTCGCCGGCGACGCCACCTACGCCGTCCGCGTGGCGGCGGACAACGGCGTGAGCCGCGCGGAGGCGAGCGCCAACGTGACGGCGCTGCGCCGGCTGTCCGGCGTGACGGTCGTCGCCGGCGCCGTCGACCTGGGCTCCCCGGTCACCGTCGCCGCCACGCTGGCCACCGGCTCGGCCGACCGCTGGGACTTCGACGTGGGGGACGGCACCGTGTACGCGGACCTGCGCCGGCCGCTGGTGACTCACAACTACTCCGCCGAGGGAGCCTACCACGTCACCGCCAACGCCAGCAACGCGCTGGGCGCCGCGACGGGCGCCGCGACGGTCTGGGTGTTCCGGCTCCGGCCGACGGACGTGCTGGCGCCACCGGGGTGCGTGGCGGCCGGCGCCGACGTGAGCCTGTCCACGAGCGTTGGTCCCTTCGCGAGGAACCTCTCCTTCCGCTGGGACTTTGGCGACGGACACGTGACGGAGGGGGTGGACGTCCCCGCGGTGGAGCACGCCTACGCCAACGCTGGCAACTTCTCGGGCTTCCTCGTGGTCAGCAGCCCGTCGGGCGCCAGCGAGAGGCAGGGGTTTGCGGTGTGCGTGCGGGGCGCCATCGCGCGCGTGGAGCTGGCGGTGAGCGGCGGCGCCGTCTCGCGGCTGGGCCGGCCGACGGAGTTCAGCGTCGCCGTCGACCCCCCCGGCGACGGCCGCACCTACACCTTCGAGTTCGGCGACGGCTCTGCCCCCGAGGTGCTGCTGGCGCCTCCGTTCCGGCACCTGTACGCCGGCGCCGGCGCGTTCACCGCCGCCGTGAACGTCAGCAACGGCGTCAGCGCCGGCGGCGCCGCGACGCCGGTCGAGGTGCAGGAGGCGGTGGGGACGGTGCGGGTGACGGCGGACGGCGCCGCCCCGCTCCACGTGGCGCTCAACCGCACGTACCTCTTCGCCGCGCTCGCCAGCGCCGGCACCGCGCTGCGGTACTCGTGGGACTTCGGCGACGGTGCCGTGAGCATCGGCGGCAACGGCACGGCCGCCCACGCCTTCTCCACCGGCGGGGCGTTCGCCGTCACCGCCGCCGTCTTCAACGACGTGAGCCGCGCCGTGGGCGGGCTCAACCTCACCGCGCTGGCGCCCGTGCGCGGGCTGGCGGTCGCGGGCCCCGGCGCCGCGACGGTGGAGACGGGCGTCCCCGCCGCCTTCTCGGCGACCGTCGAGTCCGGCGACGAGGTCGCGTTCGCGTGGTCCTCGTGCCGCCACTGCCTGCCCCCCGCCGGCGCCGGCTCCCGCTTCGAGACGGCCTTCCCGACGGCCGGGGCGCACGCGGTGACGTGCGTGGCGGCGAACGCGGCGAGCCGCGAGGAGGTCACCGTGGCCGTGTCCGCCGAGGAGCGGATCGCCGACCTCACGGTGACGTGCGAGGGGCTGGCGGACGGGCGCTACTGGGAGACGGGGCGGGTTCTGCGGTGCCGGGCGCTCGTGGGGGCCGGCAGCGGCGTCGGCTTCGCGTGGAGCTTCCGGCACGTGGCCACGGGTAGGAGCGCGGAGACCAACGAGACGGCCGCCGGGTCCCGGCTGCCGCAGCAGCAGCAGCAGCAGCAGCAGAGCGAGTCGCTGTGGAGCGTCACGCTGGCCGGCGAGCACGTCGTCGCGGTGAGCGCCAGCAACGGCCTCGGCGTCCTCGCCGCCGCGCTCAACTTCACCGCGCTGGACCGCGTCGCCGACCTGAGCGTCGCGGCGGCGCCGAACCCGACCGCCGTCGGCACCGCCGTCGCGCTGACGGCCGACGCACGACGCGGCACGGCCGTCTCCTACGCGTGGATCGTCTCCGCCGGCGGCGGCGCCGACGACGGGACGGAGGAGACGGGTTCGAGCCCGCGCCTCGAGCGCGTCTTCACGGCGGCGGGGCCGGCGCTGGTGACGGCGGTGGCGTGGAACCCGCTGGGCCGGGAGAACGCCACGGTGCGGGTGGACGTGCTGGAGCCCGTGCGGGGCCTGGCGATGGCGACGCCCGACGCGGCGGTGCCGTTCTACGTCGAGGCGGGGACGCCGGCGCGGCTGGTGGGCAGCGTGAGCTCCGGCTCGAGCGTGTCGTGGCGGTGGACGGTGCCGACGAACCCGGGGAAGATGTCGGTGGACGACGGCGCCGAGCTGCGGTACAACTTCGGCGCCGAGGGCGTCTACGCCGTCACGGTGAACGCCTCGAACGCGGTGAGCTCCGAGGTGCTGGCGCGCGATGTGACGGCGCAGGAGCGCGTCACGGGCCTCAGCGTCGTCGCCAACGCCACGGCGGCGGCGACGCGCCAGACGGTGGTGTTCACGGCGGACCTGGCGACGGCCCGCCGCTCCGCCGTCGTCACGCTGGCGTTCACCGCGGGCGGACGGGCGACCACGGTGGACGGCGTCGCCGAGGTGGCGACGCTGGAGCCGGGCGTGCCGTACGCCTACGCCTTCACCGAGCCGGGCGTCTACGTGGGCAACGTGACGGCGCGGAACAACGTGAGCGCGCGGAGCGAGCTGGTGAGCGTCACGGTGCTCGACGCCGTGCGGGGACTCGTGCTCGTCGGCTGCTGCCCCGCAGCGCTGCCCAGCGGCGAGCCGGCCTCGTTCGGCGCCGCGGTGAGCGCCGGCGCGCCCGTCGTCTTCCGCTGGCGCTTCGAGATGGCCGGCGCGGAGGCGGAGGAGGCGGTGGGGGAGAGCGCGCGGTACACGCCGCGCGTCCCCGGCGCGCTGACGGTGCTGGTGAACGCCAGCAACGCGCTGAGCGGCGCGAGCGCGGGCGCCGTCGTGGCGGTGCAGGAGCGCGTGTCCGAGCTGTCGCTGCGGCACAACGCGACGCCGCGGGCGCTGGCGGGCGAGCCGGTGGGCTTCGAGGCTCGCCACGCGACCGGCACGGACCTGCTCTACCGCTGGGAGTTCGGCGACGGCACGGGGATGCGGGGGCCCCGGGCGCGCGTGACGCACGCGTACGCGGAGGCCGGGGACTATCGCGCCGTCGTCGTCGCCTCCAACGACGTGAGCGAGGGTCGCGCCGAGACCGACGTGACCGTCGTCGAGCTCGGCTGCTCCCCGCCGACGCTGGCGCCCGTCGCGCCGCGCCGCTCCGTCGTGGCGGCGCTGCAGAACTACTTCGAGGTGACGGTGGACCTGCGCGGCTGCGAGGAGCTGGGCTACAGCGCCGAGTACCTGTGGGAGGCGCGCCGATCGGCGGACTGCGACCGGCCCAACGCGACGGTGGCGCTCGACCCGTCGGTGGACGCCCGCCGCCCGCAGCTCGTGCTGCCGGGCCGCTCGCTGGCGCCGGGAAACTACTGCCTGTCGTTCACGGCGCGGCTGAGCGGCACGTCGCTGGCGCGCTCCGTGTCGCTGGCGGTGAGCGCGCTGGCGAGCCGGCCCGTGGCGGTGATCGCCGGCGGCACCAGCCGGACCTGGTCCCGGCGCGACGGCTGGCTGCTGCTGGACGGGAGCGGTTCCTGGGACCCCGACGGAGCGGCAGGAGACGGAGCGGCAGGAGACGGAGTGGGACTCGTCTACAGCTGGGACTGCGCCCCCGAGGTGAGCAGATGGCGCTCTGTTCTCGCCGGCGCTGGCAGCTACCGCTCGGTGTTTGCTGCTGTTAATAGCGTAGTGTGTCGTAGTGTATGGTGTAGTAGTGTAGTGTGTAGTAGTGTAGTAGTGTGGTAGTGTATGGTGTAGTAGTGTGTAGTGTAGTGTGTATAGTGTAGTGTGTAGTAGTATATGGTGTAGTGTAGTGTGTGTATAGTGTAGTAGTGTATAGTGTAGTGTATAGTGTAGTGTGTATAGTGTAGTGTGTAGTAGTGTATGGTGTATTGTAGTTGGTGTATAGTGTAGTAGTGTATAGTGTAGTGTGTAGTAGTGTATGGTGTAGTGTAGTGTGTGTATAGTGTAGTAGTGTATAATGTAGTGTGTAGTAGTGTAGTAGTGTATGGTGTAGTGTAGTGTGTGTATAGTGTAGTAGTGTATAATGTAGTGTGTAGTAGTGTATGGTGTAGTGTGTGTATAGTGTAGTAGTGTATAATGTAGTGTGTAGTAGTGTAGTGTGTAGTAGTGTATGGTGTAGTGTAGTGTGTGTATAGTATAGTAGTGTATAGTGTAGTGTGTAGTAGTGTATGGTGTAGTGTAGTGTGTGTATAGTGTAGTAGTGTATAATGTAGTGTGTAGTAGTGTATGGTGTAGTGTAGTGTGTGTATAGTGTAGTAGTGTATAATGTAGTGTGTAGTAGTGTAGTGTGTAGTAGTGTATGGTGTAGTGTAGTGTGTGTATAGTGTAGTAGTGTATAATGTAGTGTGCCGTTTCGTTGAGCCATCACTTCCGATTGCCAGTTCGCTTCTGACAAAGAGCAATGTAGCTCAGTGGAGCCTTACTCTGGTAAAAATAAAAACAAAATAATGTCTAGCTTTTAGAAAGTTTTCTGCAGTCCTAAAAGCAGCCCGGTGCCTGCAGGGCCGCGCCGGGCTGGCGAGGAGCGAACCACGTGCACGTGACCCCCTCGCCTCGCCCCTCCCGCCCCCCGTGACCCCCCCACTCCTCCCCACCTGCTGCGGCCAGGTCCCCGGTACCCGGGGCTGCTTCTCGTCCCGGCCGCAGGGACCCCGGCTCAACGTGTCGGGCGCCGCCATGGTCGCCGGCGCTCGCTACGTCTTCACGCTGCGCGTGCAGGCGGTGCCCGGCAAGGGGGAGGCCGCCACCAGCCAGACGGTGAGGCTCCACGTGGTCACTCTGCCCCGGATTCTGGGGCGACAAGGTTGCGAGATGTTAACTACCTCGCCCGGTGTACAGGAGGTCGTGGGTTCGATCCCGACCTTGACGACGCCTGCTGCTATATTGGGAGTTTGCGTGTCTCTCTGTGGTAAGATGTTAACTACCTCGCCCGGTATACAGGAGGTCGTGGGTTCGATCCCGACCCTGACGACGCCTGCTGTATATTTGTAGTTTGCGTGTCTCTCTCTCTCCGTGGTGAGATGTTAACTACCTCGCCTGGTGTACAGGAGGTCGTGGGTTCGATCCTGACCCTGACACCTGCTGTTTATTTGGAGTTTGCGGTTACTCTTTGTAGTTATGTGGATTTTTTTTCGGATCCTCCGGTTTTTCCCTCCACTTTTAGAATCGACATTTCGCGTTTAAGAGTGTTTGGCTGCTATAAATTTCCACATGGTGATGATGATGTTGAGCCACTTTATTTGTGATTGCCACTGCTGAACAACAGCTACCTAGCTCAGTGGGCCTTACCTGGCAAAAATTAAATTAGTTAGACTTGGTAACTCGCTAACACGGGGGAGCTTTAGCGTTGTTTCGCGTACACACTTTGGCGCGCGCGCGTGCGTGTGTTTTTTCCTTCTTAAATCTTACAACGGCATTCCTAACCCCTGGCGCACCACGCCGCCGGCTCTCGCAGGTGCTGGTGCTGGAGGGGCCGGCGCTGTCCGTGGCGGTGCGGTGCGTGTCGTGCGACGCTCTGGGGCGCTACTCGGTGAGCCGCAGCGAGCAGGTCACCATGTCCGGCCGCTGCCTCGACTGCGCCGCCGGCGCTCAGGTGACGACCGCTCCCCGCTCCCCGCTCCCCGCCAGAGGTCGCAAACGGGTTTTGATTCCTTACCCGTACCCGGCCGCACCAGGGTCACAAATGGGTACCCGTACCCGGCTGGGTACGAGTATCCGTTCCCTACCCGTACCCTACCCGAAATTAGTGACAAACAGTTATTCACCAGTGACTCACGGCCTACCCGTACCCGTACCCGGCCGCACCAGGGTCGCAAACAGCTACCCGTAGCTGGGTATCGGGTAGGGTACGGGTATCGGGTAGCCGGTTGCGACCTCTGCTCCCCGCTCCCACCGCCGGTACCTCTTTTGCCGCTGGCGCAGCTGAGCCCCGCGCCAGCGTCGTGTGGGCGGACGCTGTAATGACCCTCGCTGTCTTGAATGACGAAACACGCGATTCCGCTGTTGACGGAATGAACGCCTCCGATGAGCACGGTGGGCTAAGTATGGTGCGATCGAAGTTCAACATACATACTACTACACACTAGACTAGTGTACACTACACACTACACTACACTACTACACACTACACTACTATACACTACATTACTATACACTACACTACTATACACTACACTACTATACACTACACTACTACACACTACACTACTATACACTACATTACTATACACTAGACTAGTGTACACTACACACTACACTACACTACTACACACTACACTACTACACACTAGACTAGTGTACACTACACACTACACTACACTACTACACACTACACTACTATACACTACACTACTATACAATACACTACTATACACTACACTACATAATACACTCGACTATACACTACGCTACTATACACTACGCTACTATATACTACAATATACACTACACTACTATATGCTACACTACTATATGCTACACTACTATACACTACACTATATAATACACTAAACTATACACTACACTACTATACACTACACTACTATACACTACACTATACACTACACTACTATACACTACACTACTATACACTACTATACACTACACTACTATACACTACTATACACTACGCTACTATACACTAAACTACTATACACTATACACTACACTATACACTACACTATATAATACACTAGACTATCCCACACTACTATATAGTACACTACTATACGCGACACTGACACGACTATCCACTCTGATTATCACGGTTGGCTACGTGCGGTGCGGATGAAGTTGTGCCTGCGTAACATCACCGCCCCTCCGCCGCTCCGCAGCTGCAGTACCGGTGGACGGTGGTGGACTCCGACGGGGCAGTGCTGCCCCTGGGCTCGGAGCGCTCCTCCACGGGGGACGCCCTGGCGGACCTGGTGGTGCGCTCCGGGGCTCTGGCCGACGGCCTCGGCTACACCTTCACCCTCGCCGTGTCCGCGCCGCCGGGTGGCGCCGGCGGCGGCGACGATGGCGCCGCCGCCGCCGGGAACTCGTCGCTGGTGCTCGAGCCCAACCGGCCGCCGGCGGGCGGGGAGTGCCGGACCACGCCGGGCGCCGCCCTCACCGTGCTGGAGACGCGCCTGCAGTACGACTGCGTTGGTGAGGCCGCCTGCCACGCGCCTCGCCTGGCGCCAGAGGTCGCAAACGGGTTTTGATTCCTTACCCGTCCCCGTACCCGGCCGCACCAGGGTCGCAAACGGGTACCCATACCCTACCCGATACCCGGCCGGGTACGGGTAGCCGGGTACGGGTAGGGTACGGGTATCGGGTACCCGATTGCGACCTCTGGGATGAAGCCACGTTGCAGGCGCGGGTGGGTTGATTCTAGGAACTTGAATTGTGAGAAGAGACAAGACGTTGGGAAATGAGTGACAAACGGTGACTCACCAGTGACTCACGGTCTACCCGTACCGTACCCGGCCGCACCAGGGTCGCAAACGGGTACCCGTACCCGGCCGGGTACGGGTAGCCGAGTATCGGGTAGGGTACGGGTATCGGGTACTCGATTGCGACCTCTGCCTGGCGCCCTGCCGGCGAGCGTAGCTGGCGAGCGAATGGCTCGGTGGGCTTTGTCTGTCGGGTAATCGGACTGCTTATCGATGAGCCGTGCGTGCGTCCGATCTGACTTGCGGGGAGCGGTGTGGCTACGAACCCGGCGACACGAGTTCGATTCCCGCTCACGGCCAACAATCGGCGACGATTATCAGAACCGGTCCTGGATCTTACCTGGGTCGACTCGGCCTCAAACGAGTACCTGGTGCGGTGTGTATAACATCGCCACCGGGCGTGGTGCTGGCCACCCACCCCCTCGTGTGCCACAGTGCCGGTAGCCTTCATAGGTGCCGCTACTCGCTAACAGCGCTTGCCCCAACGGTCTGTTCAACGCTGAATGGGGGATCTTTGTGTTTTTGTCTCCTGCCTTGTGGTGTGCTAACGGTGCTGCTGGCGACTCAGACTGGCGGGACCCTGAAGACGCTAGCGCCCCCGTGCTCTATACGCTGGTGCTGGCCGCCTGCTCGCCGGGCACCGGCGGCAGCTGCCAGGACACGCCGCTGTACCGCGGCGTGAAGGCGCGGTGGAGCGCGCTGCTGCCCCTGGGAGGCGGTGTGGGTGACGGCGCCCGCCACTGGCTGGAGCTGTGGGTGGAGGATCAGATGGGCGCCCGCACGCTCGCCCTCAACCGGTGGGGAGTCATCATCATCAACATCATCATCAATCATCACATCATCATCAACATCATCATCAACATCATCATCATCATCGTAGTGGGGCATGATGGGTGGTGGGTGGAGCTGTGGGTGAAGGATCAGATGGGGGCCCGCACGCTCGTCCTCAACCGGTGGGGAGTCATCATCATCAACATCATCATCAACATCATCATCATCATCATCATCAACATCATCATCAACATCATCATCAACATCATCATCGTAGTGGGGCATGATGGGTGGTGGGTGGAGCTGTGGGTGGAGGATCAGATGGGGGCCCGCACGCTCGCCCTCAACCGGTGGGGAGCCGTCCAGGATTTCTAGGGTCATCCTGTAATCATCATCATCAACATCATCAACATCATCATCATCAACATCATCATCAACATCATCATCAACATCATCATCAACATCATCATCATCATCAACATCATCAACATCATCATCATCATCAACATCATCATCATCATCAACATCATCATCATCACCATCATCATCAACATCAACATCATCATCATCATCGTAGTGGGGCATGATGGGTGGTGGGTGGAGCTGACGGGGTGGTGGCCGCTCGTGGTGCCTGCGCTGTGCGTGGAGCAGCAGCGTGGAGGTGGCGCTTCCGCCGGCGCCACCGGACGGGCTGCCCGCGTGGCTCGCCAACCGCAGCCGCTGGGAGCTGCAGGCGGCGCTGCAGAGGGGCGACCCCTACGAGGTGACGCTCTACGCCAGCGCGCTGCTCAGCGTGGTGCGGCAGGTGAGGACGTCACGCCACGTGCGTGCGTTGAGTTGATTTCTCGCCGTGCGCTACCAGACGTTAAGTCGCAGCTTAGCGGCCGGAGCCAGGAAAACGGGGCGAGCGTGAGGCAACACGACGCTCGCTGGGAGGCTGGGGGTCAGGTGGCTTTTGATTCGTAGCTACAGCCGTGGGGGGAGGCATCCAGGACGCGGTGTTCGTATTCTTGGTTCTTTCGGTAAAGTCACGTAGAAGGGAAGTAATAAAATAATACAAATAAAACATGATCAAATTAAATTCTCACGACGTTTCGGCCACAACGCAAGCAGCCGTCCTCAGGTGAGGAAACAGGGCTGTCGGAAAGACAGCGTTCTAATGGAACACTGCTAAGCTTGTCAGCGTATTTTAAGCTGGGTGGGAGGAGCAGAGAGCCTTGACAAAGGAGTTTACATATCAACAGAGGAATTTAGCATATTGATGACAAATGCAGAAATGGGGTTAGTGACTCCTTGCGGAAAGTGTAAGCGGTGGGGTGGGTCTCAAAGTCATATTATGCTCGTAGTGTATCATGTAGGATTAGCAGTAATAAAGGGAGGGACATTTTATTAATAAACAACTGCAGCAGCCAAACCACCGCGTATCAGGATGCGGTGTGTGTGATGTGCGTCTGATAGTGCGCTGTCTTTGAGTTGTGCGCCTTTTGGCGTCATCTGGTCCAACACCAGTGGAGACTAGGCTCTTAGGAAAGCTGTCTCGGGTGTGGACCAATCAACTTCAGGGACAGTGCATATCATTATCAGAGTTGTCTCTTTTTATTTGCATTGTGACTGCTTGTTTTATGGTTATAGCAAACATGATGCCTTGTATAAAAGGTGTCAGTTTTTGTACCAGTTGAAAGGGTAAAAACCTATCAAAAATAGTTTAGTCAACAAATGACTAAGTTTACTTTTCGACATACTGGACGCGGCGTGCCTGCGGTGGTGGTGGTGGTGGTGGCTAGCAGGTGGACGGCGGTGGAGATGCCGCGGCGGTGGCCACGTACGCGGAGGTGGCACGGAACGCGACCCTGGCGCTCTCCGGCCTGGCCGTGGCGAGCATGGAGGACGTGTTCCGCCTGGCAGCCGCGCTCGCCTACACCTCGTCCGGCGCCCGCCTCAACGCCACACAGGTCAGCAGAGCAAGGGGGTTAGCACGGCAGGGCAAGGGTTAACATGACAGAACAAGGGTTAACATGACAGAACAAGGGTTAACATGACAGAACAAGGGTTAACATGACAGAACAAGGGTTAACATGACAGAACAGGGCAAAGGGTTGATGCTCTCCCCCCCCACCACTCCCCACCACTCCCCCCTCTGCCCCCCCCTCGCTCCTCCCCGTCTTCCCCACGCCCACCCCTCAGGCCTCCTCCGTGTGCGAGGAGTGTCCGGAGCGAGTGCTGCTGCAGGTGGAGAGGATGGTGGCGGTGGTGGCAGCGTGGGTGACGCAGGGCAAGGTCACCCCCACCGGCCCAGCCCGCAGCCTCCTGCAGGTCATGGGTGAGTGGCCGCTCGCACCGCGGCGAGCAGTGCAACGTGGAGACGATGGTGAGCAATCTTCTTGGTTCTTTCGGTAAAGTCGGGGAGACAGCGTCAGACGCTGTCTCTCCGACAGACCTGGTCTTCACCTGAGGACGGCTGCTTGCGTTGTGGCCGAAACGTCATTAGAATTATTTTATTATGTTGTATTTTTATTATTGTATTACTTCCCTTCTACGTGACTTTACCGAAAGAACCAAGAAGATGAATCCCTGCAGTCACGAAAGCTTTAAATCGAAGAAAAAAAAGATGGTGAGCAAGTCGCTAAATGTGAACGTAGAATAAATACAGTCGTTGTGTGAGTCCGATTTATCAAAGTTTGGCAAATGTATCAAAAACAAGAATGAAAGCCTCCATAACGCGACACGTCAGCACTGAACTATCGAGACCTACACCGGGGTTAAGGGTCAAAGTGAGAAACCTGAAGCTTCAGACGCTGTCTTTCCGACAGCCCTGTTCTTCACCTGAGGACGGCTGCTTGCGTTGTGGCCGAAACGTCGTGAGAATTATTTTATTGTTTTATTTTTATTATTTTATTACTTCCCTTCTACGTGACTTTACCGAAAGAACCAAGAAGAAGAGGAAACTAGATTGTCGCAAAACATTGGCGCTGCAACGGCAAAGGCTTTTGTCACCCATCCCAATCCTCGCTCTCGGGACATGTAAAAAAGGCGATTTGATGGACGCCTTCGGCTGCTTCTCCCCCTGCCGCGCAGGCGCCATCATGGCCACCGGCCGGGACGCGCGCGTGTCCGCGGCGGCGCCCTCGACGGCCGCCGCCTGCGCCGCCAGGCCGCCGCCCGGCGGGCCCGGCCTGGGCCGACGGGCCTTCTCGCTGGCCGAGTGCCTGATGGGCGCGCTGATGCGCACGCGCGTGCTGCACGAGGAGAAGCTGGCGCTGCGCACGGAGCGGCTGGCGGCGCTGGGCCGGCGCGTCACGCCGCTGTCGCTGCTGTGCGGCGCGGCGCCGGCGTCGGCGGCGCTGGAGGAGGAGGGCGACCCGGACTGCGCGTTCCAGATCCCCCTCGCCGCGGCGGAGATCATCGACCGGCGAGTCGCGGCGGCCACGGCGGGCGGAGCCGGCGCCGAGCTCACGCAGGTGCGACCGCTTGGGAGGGACGGGGGGGGGGGGGACAGCCTCCCCCGCCATGCTGGCGCCCTGCCGAGCTGGCGCGGTGCGGGACGGGCGCTCTTCCGCTGCACGAACCAAGTCGTGCCGCAGAGGACTGCTCGCGACTTGTTACGTTGAGCCGCCGTGTGAGCGTGTCGTGGTTTCGCACTGTGCTTCAGTTAAGCCGTGGTGGTGGCGGCAACGGCGGCGGCGGTGATGGCGACGTCGATGGTATGGTGATAGTGCGGCGGTGACGGTGGTGTATGTGTCTGTACATGTACGTGACGTGAATTTCTTTCGAACCGTACCTAATTGGAGGTGCGGAATGAGCGGGCGAACGGTTTGTGGTGGAGGCCGTGGCAGTGACGCTGACCGACCGACGGATCCGCACCGTCCCGTTGATGAAACGCGCCGCGCCCTCTTGCCGGCCCGGCGTGCGTGCCCAGGTGATGCTGGTGATGCCGAGCAGCCCGTTCCCCGAGCCGGGTCCCCTGGGCGACCTCGCCGTGTCGTCGCGCGTCGCCTCGCTGGAGCTGAGCCGCGCCGACGACGGTTCCGTGGTGCCGGTGAGCGACCTGCCCGCCGGCGCCGCCATCCTGGTCACGCTGCCCGGGCCGGCCCTCGACCTCTCCGAGTCGCTGGTGGCGGCGACCGCCGGGACCGGCGGCGACGGCGCCGTCGTCGTGCCGCCGGGCGGCGCCGTCAACTTCAGCGTGAACGCCAGCAACGAGGACGCGAGGGCCAGCCTGTTCGTGCAGGTCACGTACACGCCCGTCGACGGTGAGGGACATTGCCAGCACATTACTCACTCGCTCGCTGGCTCGCTTACTCGCTCACTAGCTCACTAGCTCACTCACTCGTTCAGTCACTCGCTCACTCACTCGCTCACTAGCTCACTCACTCGTTCAGTCACTCGCTCAATCGCTCACTCGCTCACTCACTCAATCGCTCACTAGCTCACTCACTCGTTCAGTCACTCGCTCACTGAATCGCTCACTAGCTCACTCACTCGTTCAGTCACTCGCTCACTCACTCGCTCACTAGCTCACTCACTCGCTCACTAGCTCACTCACTCATTCAGTCACTCGCTCACTCACTCGCTCACTAGCTCACTCATTCGTTCAGTCACTCGTTCACTCACTCGCTCACTCAATCGCTCACTAGCTCACTCACTCGTTCAGTCACTAGCTCACTCACTCGCTCGCTCAATCACTCACTAGTTCATTCACTAGCTCAGTCACTCGCTCGCACTACTCAGTCACTCGCTCGTGCACTCGCTCACGTGCTTACTCGCTCGAACACTCACTCAATCGCTCACTTTGTTCATTCTGTCGCTCGCGCACTCGCTCATGCTCGCTCGCTCGCTCAGTCACTCCCATGCTCACTCGCTTGCTCACTCACTAGCTCGCTCGCTCACTTAGTCACTTGCTCGCTCGCTTGCGCTCTTACGCCTATTCATGAGCGGATGGATGAGCTGCCTGTGAAGGTGGGTGATTGAGTGGCTGAGTCGGTGGTTGAGTGAATCAATCAGTGGGTGCGTGGGTTCGTGAGTGGATGGGCGTATGAGTTGGTGGGTGGTCGAGTGAGTGGGTAAGTCGGTTTGTGACTGGATAAGTGAGTGAATGGGTGAGTGAGCAGACTGAGGGAGGGAGCGAGTGAGTAGTGGAGCAAGTGAGTGGTGGAGTGGACCGTGAGTGACTGGACGAGCAAGCTCGAGTGAGTCGGTGGGCGAGTGGTTAATCCGGCGCGTGAGCGGGTCGGCGAGTGAGTGACTGAGTGATGCGAGCGAGTCGGTGGGCGAGTGGTTAATCCGGCGCGTGAGCGGGTCGGCGAGTGAGTGACTGAGTGATGCGAGCGAGTCGGTGGGCGAGTGGTTAATCCGGCGCGTGAGCGGGTCGGCGAGTGAGTGACTGAGTGATGCGAGCGAGTCGGTGGGCGAGTGGTTAATCCGACGAGTGAGCGGACCGACGAGTGAGTGAGTAAGTGAGTCGGTGGGCGAGTGGTTAACCCAGCGCGTGAGTGGGCCGACGTGTGAGTGACTGAGTGACTGAGCGAGTCGGTGGGCGAGTGGTTAATCCGGCGCGTGAGCGGATCAACGTGTGAGTGACTGAGTGACTGAGCGAGTGGGTGGGCGAGTGGTTAACCCAGTGAGGCGGGCCGACGTGTGAGTGACTGACTGAGTGAGCGAGTCGGTGGACGAGTGGTTAACCCAGTGAGGCGGGCCGACGTGTGAGTGACTGAGTGACTGAGCGAGTCGGTGGGCGAGTGGTTAACCCAGTGAGGCGGGCCGACGTGCGAGTGACTGACTGAGTGAGCGAGTCGGTGGGCGAGTGGTTAACCCAGTGAGGCGGGCCGACGTGCGAGTGACTGACTGAGTGAGCGAGTCGGTGGGCGAGTGGTTAACCCAGTGAGGCGGGCCGACGTGTGAGTGACTGAGTGAGTGAGCGAGTCGGTGGGCGAGTGGTTAACCCAGTGAGGCGGGCGGGCCGTGCACGGCGGAGGGACAGATGCGGCTGCGAGCGTGGACGCCGTGCGCCGCGTGGACGTGAGCCTGCACGGCTACGCGCCGGCGCTGCCCGGCGACGAGCAGCCGGGGACTGGCGGCGCCGCCACCACCGCCGTCATGGCCAAGCAGATCCCGCTGGAGGAGGTGGAGCGCGGGAACCTCTCGGCCTGCACGCTCGCCCTGTCGCCCACGTGAGTGGCACGGGTGGTGCATCTCGCCTGCCGCCGAAAGCTAAACGAAATTAAACGTTTTGTTTTACCAGGTACAGCGCTCCGATCGGCACGGTTAATCCAGCGAAGGAAGTTCAACGTACATACGCACACAGGAGCTGTCTAGCTCTTTTTAAGCACCATGCCCGACCGCCTCTGTCTCCCCAGCGGTGATGTTTTTACACGCCGCACCAGCTACTCACTTGAGGCTGAGTCAACCTAGGGGAGGCGCAGGACTGGTGAGCGGGAATCGAACTCGGGTCGCAACCCGCTAACCCCTACACGACCGCTCTCCCGCGCTCACGCAGAAACAGGGCGGCAACAGGCAAACCGCCGCGTTACCACCGAGCTACCACCCTCCCTGTACGTACGCACGTCGGCGACATTCACACGTGTCACGTGTCCCTCCCCCTCCGCTGCCGCCCCCCTTTCGGCGCCACCATCGCCGCCTGCCGCCGCCAGATCGTACGACACGACGCGGCCGTTCGTGCTGCTCGTCCGCAACCGGCACGCCGGCTCGGCGGTACGAGTGCGCGTCGGCGCCTACCTCGCGCTCTGCCAGTGGCTGGCGCCGGGGGCGTCGGACGGCTGGGCCGGTGACGGCACGGAGCCCGACGGCGCCACGGGCCCCGGCGCCGCCGTGTGCCGCAGCCGGCACCTGACGGTGTTCGGGGCCGGCATGTTCGTGCCTCCGGGCGCCGTGTCTCTGCTGCCGCCGGTGAGCGGGCGGGCGGGCCGGTGGACACCGCTTCCTCACAGCGCCAGCGGGGATGACGATGATGACGATGATGACGATGATGACGATGACAATGATAATTATTGTATTAATTCGTTCTGGCGATTCTGCTGCTGCTGCGTTGGCAGTGATGCGCAAGCACAACAACAACAACATCATTAACAATGCAACAGCTTCGTCACTAATAAAGCTGTGGGGCCTTAACATAAAAAATTATGTAACGGGTGACGACGTTTTGGGCTCTGAAAAAGGCCCATTGCCTGAAACGTCGTATCTCACGCGCGTTTTTTTATATTTCAAAGCCACATATCCTGTATAGAAAGCGATATGTTCAACTTTTGTGATGGACATTCAATTTAATATGGATTTATGTTCGTGCGCGGTTTTAAATTTAACGTCTCTGCTCCGATTTCCGTTTGGTCGTCGCTGCTGCTTTCATTTCCATTTGCCGGTCGTTGTGTTTCTGCTCCGACTTCGTTCGCTGCTGTCGCCGTCGAGATCTGGGGCTGACCCAGGTCACCCACCCGGCTCCCGCACCCCGAGACTCATCCTGCCGTCTCTCTCGTCTCTCTCCCGATCTCTCGCCCGGCGCGACGATACGGCCCCACGGTTACCCGCCGCTAACAGACCCTGGAAAGCCTGTCGCTGGTGGCCGTGCTGGTGTGCGCGGCGCTGTGCGGCGCCTACCTCGTGGTGGCGCTGCTGGCGCGGCGGATGGACCTGGTGGACATCAGGCGGGTGGGCGTGGTGCCGCTGTGCGGGCCCGAGGGACGCTACAAGTACGAGGTGATGGTGAAGACCGCATGGGGGAACGGCTCCGGTGAGTGTGGGTCGGCTGTGTCGGCAACCGGGCTCGGTGAGTGTTAAGTGCATGGTGGCGCGGCGGTGGTGAGATATTTACTACCTAATTCATTTTTTCTGTGATGAGAATTTTTCTCGTGCTATCCTTTGTTCTCGTCATTTACGTATTCATTTCTGCGGGTGGGGGGGAGGTGATCTTTGTTCTTAGTATGCAATCAGAATCTTTACTTACTCTGGAGGAATCCGTTGAGCTTCGAAGATCATTTTCACAGACGTCCAGCCCTTCAGCAGCAGCCGCCGCTCGCTCGAACAGAGCCCTGTGACCTGCGTTCGATTCCCAGCCACCGGCGACGTTCGGTTCCATGCGCGCCGTCACGTGCGTGCGTCACGTGCGTGCGTCACGTGCGTGCGTCACGTGCGTGCGTCACGTGCGTGCGTCACGAGCGTGCTGTCACGTGTGTGCGTCACGTGCGTGCGTCACGTGCGTGCGTCACGTGCGTGCGTCACGTGCGTGCGTCACGTGCGTGCGTCACGAGCGTGCTGTCACGTGTGTGCGTCACGTGCGTGCGTCACGTGCGTGCGTCACGAGCGTGCGTCACGAGCGTGCTGTCACGTGTGTGCGTCACGTGCGTGCGTCACGTGCGTGCGTCACGTGCGTGCGTCACGTGCGTGCGTCACGAGCGTGCTGTCACGTGTGTGCGTCACGTGCGTGCGTCACGTGCGTGCGTCACGAGCGTGCGTCACGAGCGTGCTGTCACGTGTGTGCGTCACGTGCGTGCGTCACGAGCGTGCGTCACGAGCGTGCTGTCACGTGCGTGCGTCACGTGTGTGCGTCACGTGCGTGCGTCACGTGCGTGCGTCACGAGCGTGCGTCACGAGCGTGCTGTCACGTGCGTGCGTCACGTGCGTGCGTCACGTGCGTGCGTCACGTGCGTGCGTCACGAGCGTGCTGTCACGTGTGTGCGTCACGTGCGTGCGTCACGTGCGTGCGTCACGAGCGTGCCGTCACGTGCGTGCGTCACGTGCGTGCGTCACGTGCGTGCGTCACGTGCGTGCGTCACGTGCGTGCGTCACGAGCGTGCTGTCACGTGTGTGCGTGCGTTGCAGGCACCACGGCGCACGTGGGCATCAGCCTGTACGGGCGCGAGAAGAGCGGCGCTCGGTTCCTGGCGCGCGACGGAGCCTTCAGGCGCAACGCGGCCGACGTGTTCCACATCGCGTGCCACCTGCGGCTGGGCCGGCTGTGGAAGATCCGCGTGTGGCACGACAACACCGGTAACCCGCGCGCCAACTCGCACACAAACAACGGCTAAGACCCCCCCCCCCCCACCCCGTGTAGCCCGTAACAGACTGTTTGGGGCTAACCGATGAAGGCCGCCACGAGGAGGTGGGTGGGCAACGCCACGCCGCACCAGGTACTCATTTGAGGCCGAGTCTACCTAGGGGGGAGGCCGGTTAAGATTATCGTCACCGGTGTTGGCCATGGGCAGGAATCGAACTTGGGTCGCCAGGTTCGTAGCGCAGCGTAGCGCTAACCGTTACACTATCGCTCCACCCCACGCGCAACCGCCATTCGCCACTAAGTGGCGGTGACGTCACCACGACGCTTGTGCCAGGCCATGTGCACCTTGAGGCGCAGCGTAGCGCTAACCGTTACACTCTCGCTCCACCCCACGCGCACACGCGCACATACAACAACAACAACAACCACCATTCGCCACGACGCTTGTGCCAGGCCATGTGCACCTTGAGGCCACGTGAAGTGTCGAACGCCCGCTGGCAGGAGGTCACGGGGCAGACCCAGCAAGTGCCACGGGTCGACTGACTGAGATGACCGAGATGACTGGCTGATGCACCACCTGTGCCCCCTACTGTGCCAACTTGCTGTGCTTTAGCCACCCGGCGCTCCGCTCGTTGTTGTGAGCGTCGCTCCTCCGCCCTCCGTTGTTGCTGGAGGGCGACTGCCTCCAACTGCCCAGTAGCGTCCTTCACGAGCCTCCTCCACAGAGGCCGATCTTGACACACGCACACACGCATACACGCACACACACGCGCACACACGCACACACGCACACACACGCGCACACACGCACACACGCACACACACGCGCACACGCACTCACACACGCGCACACGCGCACACACGCACACACGCACATACGCACACACACGCGCACACCGGGTTTCGCTTCCCGGCTACGGCTCACGTCAGTGACGAGCGACGTGTGAGCCCGCGTTGCTCGCTGAACCAGCGCGGCGAAACGCCACGCACGGCGAAACGCCACGCACGGCAAAACGCCACGCACGGCGAAACGCCACGTACGGCAGAAGTCACGGCGGACCGACGCCGGCGACGATCGTCGCGAGACGCCGTCGCATCGCGCCGAGGGCCCGGCCTGACCGAGCGCGTGCGGTGCCGCCACCGCCTTGTCGCGCCAGGGCTGAGCCCGGCGTGGCACGTGCGGCACGTGATGGTGCGCGAGCTGGAGACGGGCAAGACGTACGGCTTCATCCTGGACGACTGGCTCTCGGTGGAGAACCAGCGCAATGACGGGCTGGTGGAGAGGGACGTGCTCGCCGCCAGTGAGCGCCGCTCGCCCGCACTCGCTCACGCACTCGCCCACGCTCGCTCGCACTCGCCCGCACTCGCTCACGCTCGCCCACGCTCGCCCGCGCTCACCCGCACTCACCCGCACTCGCCCGCGCTCGCTCGCGCTCGCTCGCGCTCGCTCGCACTCGCTAACGCTCGCTCGCACTTGCCCGCACTCACCCACGCTCGCTCACACTCACCCACGCTCGCTCACACTCGCCCACACTCACCCACGCTCGCTCATACTCGCTCACACCTCGCTCACACTCGCCCGCACTCACCCACGCTCGCTCACACTCGCTCACACTCACCCACGCTCGCTCACACTCACCCACGCTCGCTCATACTCGCTCACACCTCGCTCACACTCGCCCGCACTCACCCACGCTCGCTCACACTCGCTCACACTCGCCCACACTCGCTAACGCTCGCTCACACTCGCCCGCACTCGCCCACGCTCGCTCACACTCGCCCGCACTCACCCACGCTCGCTCGCACTCGCCCGCACTCCCACTCGCTAATGCTCGCTCACACTCGCCCACACTCACTAACGCTCGCTCACACTCGCCCATACTCCCACTCGCTAATGCTCGCTCACACTCGCTCACACTCGCTCACACTCGCCCACACTCACCCGCATTCAACCACGCTCGCTTACACTCACCTGCACTCCCACTCGCTCACACTCGCCTGCACACATGAACGTTCGCTCACACTCGCTCGCTTTCACTCGCTTGTACTCACTCTTGCTGACTCACACTCGCTCACGCTCGCCCACACTTGCCCACACGCACTCGCCCACACTCGCCCACACTCGCTCTCGCTTGCTCAGACTCTCTCAGACTCGCTCACACGGCCAGCTAACAGCACTTGCCCCAACAGTCCAGCGACGGCGGTGGCGGCGGTGGCGGCGGCAACGTTACCTTTGTGTGCGCGTGGCGGTGCGTGTCGCTCGCAGGCCCCGAGGACCTGCGCCGCTTTGGCCGCGTGTTCGTGGGCGAGCTGCAGCGCGGCGTGTCGGAGCGCCACGCCTGGCTCTCCGTGCTCGACCGGCCGGCGCGCAGCCGCTTCACGCGGGCGCAGCGCGTCTCCGCCTGCGCCCTGCTGCTCGCCGCCTTCCTGGGCGTCTCCGCCGTGTGGTACGGCGCCGTCGCCTCCAACGCCACCGGCGCCGTCGCCGGGGCCAGGTGAGGGGCGTGGGGAACGCGCTCACGCGTCCGTCTGGAACGCGCCCTTCCTTCCGATGTCAGGATAGCCGTTGGAGCTGTGCAATTTTAAATTATGTTCATTGAGAACGAGTTTCTTTAGAACTGCTTCTTGTTGTTGTGTTTAGTTTGTTGTCCTTCTCCACACCTCCAATTGGCACGGTTGGCTACGTACGGTTCGAAAGCAGATTAACATACGTGTGTGTGTGTGTGCGGTTAGAGCTGTGGTTGTGTGGTTGTGTGCCTATGTGAGTGGGGAGGGGTGGTGCAGCGGTTAGCGCGCTGCGCTACGAACCCGGCTACCCGAGTTCGATTCCCGCTCACGGCCAACACCGGCCACGATTATTTGAACCGTTCCTGGGCCTCCCTAGGTCAACTCTGCCTAGCGGGTGCGGTGTGTAAACATCGCCATTGGGGAGACAAAGACGGCCGGGGAGTGGTGCTACCCACCCACCCCCTTGTGTGCCGTGCCAGCCTTCACAAGCGCTGCTACCAGCCCTTGTCCCTACAGTCTGTCGAAGACTATACGGGGGATCTTTGTCTTTGTGTGTGTGAGCAGAGTCCCGGTGTCGGAGTCTCTGTCCGTGGGCTGGAGCGACGTGGCGGTTGGCATGGTGACCGCTTGTCTCTCCTTCCCTGTCTACGTCATCATCTCGCTCGTCTTCCGGAAGTCTAGAAGCCAGGTGCCGGCCTGTCGAAGGGCTTTGCTTGGTGTCTTTGTGTGTGCACGGTGTGCGTGTGTGTGTACACGGTGTGTGTGTGTGTACACGGTGTGTGCGTGTACAATGTGTGTGTGTGTGTACACTGTGTGTGTGTACACGGTGTGTGTGTGTGTACACTGTGTGTGTGTGTACACGGTGTGTGTGTGTGTACACTGTGTGTGTGCACGGTGTGCGTGTGTGTGTGTACACGGTGTGTGTGTGTACACGGTGTGTGTGTGTGTACACGGTGTGTGTGTGTATAATGTGTGTGTGTGTACACGGTGTGTGTGTGTACATTGTGTGTGTGTGAACAATGTGTGTGTGTACACGGTGTGTGTGTACACTGTGTGTGTGTGTACACGGTGTGTGTGTGTGTGTACACGGTGTGTGTGTGTGTGTGCGTACACGGTGTGTGTGTGTGTACACGGTGTGTGTGCACGGTGTGTGTGTGTACATGCGTGTGTGCACGGTGTGTGTGTGTGTACATGCGTGTGTGCACGGTGTGTGTGCGTGTTAACATGTGTGTGTGTGCACGGTGTGTGTGTGCACGGTGTGTGTGCACGGTGTGTGTGTGCACGGTGTGTGTGTGTACAATGTGTGTGTGTGTACACTGTGTGTGTGTGAACATGTGTGTGTGCACGGTGTGTGCGTGTGTGTGTACACGGTGTGCGTGTGTGTGTACACGGTGTGTGTGCGTGTTAACATGTGTGTGTGCACGGTGTGTGTGTGTGCACGGTGTGTGTTAACGTGTGTGTGCACGGTGTGTGTGTGTGCACGGTGTGTGTGTGTGCACGGTGTGTGTATGTGTTAACATGTGTGTGTGTGCATGTGTTAACATGTGTGTGTGTGTGCACGGTGTGTGTGTGTGTACACGGTGTGTGTGTGTACATGTGTGTGCACGGTGTGTATGTGTGTTAACATGTGTGTGTGCACGGTGTGTGTGTGCACGGTGTGTGTGTGCACGGTGTGTGCGTGTGTACATGTGTGTGTACACGGTGTGTGTGTGCACGGTGTGTGCGTGTGTACATGTGTGTGTACACGGTGTGTGTGTGTGTACATGTGTGTGCACGGTGTGTGTGTGCACGGTGTGTGTGTGCACGGTGTGTGCGTGTGTACATGTGTGTGTACACGGTGTGTGTGTGCACGGTGTGTGCGTGTGTACATGTGTGTGTACACGGTGTGTGTGTGTGTACATGTGTGTGCACAGTGTGTGTGTGCACGGTGTGTGTGTGCACGGTGTGTGCGTGTGTACATGTGTGTGTGCACGGTGTGTGCGTGTTAACATGTGTGTGTGCACGGTGTGTGTGTGCACGGTGTGTGTTAACGTGTGTGTGCACGGTGTGTGTGTGTGCACGGTGTGTGTGTGTGCACGGTGTGTGCATGTGTTAACATGTGTGTGTGTGCATGTGTTAACATGTGTGTGTGTGTGCACGGTGTGTGTGTGTGTGTACACGGTGTGTGTGTGTGCGTGTGTGTGCACGGTGTGTGCACGGTGTGTAGATCTCGATGCAGCACGTGGACAGCTGCGAGCTGGAGGTGCTGGAGATCGATGCCTACGTGGACGCCTCCGAGGGCGGCGACTCCATGCTGGAGCTGCCCGACTTGGAGGCCGGTCATACGTCCTGCTCGGACCGTCTCTCTCTCTCTCGTACCCCACGTCTCTCTCTCTCGTACCCCACGCCTCTCTCTCTCTCGTACCCCACGCCTCTCTCTCTCGTACCCCACGTCTCTCTCTCTCGTACCCCACGTCTCTCTCTCTCGTACCCCACGTCTCTCTCTCTCGTACCCCACGCCTCTCTCTCTCGTACCCCACGTCTCTCTCTCGTACCCCACGTCTCTCTCTCTCGTACCCCACGTCTCTCTCTCTCGTACCCCACGTCTCTCTCTCTCGTACCCCACGTCTCTCTCTCTCGTACCCCACGTCTCTCTCTCTCGTACCCCACGTCCTCTCTCTCTCGTACCCCACGTCTCTCTCTCTCGTACCCCACGTCTCTCTCTCTCGTACCCCACGTCTCTCTCTCTCGTACCCCACGCCTCTCTCTCTCGTACCCCACGTCTCTCTCTCTCGTACCCCACGTCTCTCTCTCTCGTACCCCACGTCTCTCTCTCTCGTACCCCACGTCTCTCTCTCTCGTACCCCACGTCTCTCTCTCTCTGTACCCCATGTCCATCTCTCTCGTACCCCACGTCTCTCTCTCTCGTACCCCACGTCTCTCTCTCTCGTACCCCACGTCTCTCTCTCTCGTACCCCACGTCTCTCTCTCTCGTACCCCACGTCTCTCTCTCTCGTACCCCACGTCTCTCTCTCTCTCGTACCCCACGTCTCTCTCTCTTGTACCCCATGTCCATCTCTCTCTCTCTCATGTCTCATGTCCATCGCTCTCGACCCTCACGTCCATCTCTCTCGACCCCCACGTCTCTCTCTCTCTCTTGTACCCCACGTCTCTCTCTCATGTCCCATGTCCATCGCTCTCGTACCCCACGTCTCTCTCTCTCTCGTACCCCACGTCCGGCTCTCTCTCATGTCTCATGTCCATCGCTCTCGACCCCCACGTCTCTCTCTCTCTTGTACCCCACGTCCATCTCTCTTTCTCTCATGTCCGTCGCTCTCGTACCCCACGTCCGGCTCTCTTGTCCCATGTCCGTCTCTCTCGACCCCCACATCCGCCTCGACTTCATTCCACACGGCCCTCTCGTGTGCACCCCCCGCTGCTAGCGCCTTAGCCACACTAATCGGGTGCTAGAGGGGGGTTTTGTCGTGCACTGCACCCGTGTGTGTGTGTGTCCATGAGGACGGGTGCTGCCGATTGGTTGTGTGTTTCCTCCGCACGTCGCTCCGATAAACGCCAAATGAGTTGTGACCGAGAATCTCTCTTTCTCTCTCTCTCTCTTCCTCCAGAACTACCAAGACAGGAAAGAGAGCGTCATCTCGTGAGTAGCGGCGTTAACCTGCTGATGCCACTATTGTCGTGTCTTTGCGTCTCACACTACCCATAGACTACCACTACCCATAGACTAACACTGTCCATAGACTAACACTACTCATACACTACCACTACCCATACACTAACACTGTCCATAGACTAACACTACCCATACACTAACACTGTCCATAGACTAACACTACCCATAGACTAACACTGCCCATAGACTAACACTACCCATACACTAACACTGTCCATAGACTAACACTACCCATAGACTAACACTGTCCATAGACTAACACTACCCATAGACTAACACTACCCATACACTACCACTACCCATAGACTACCACTACCCATAGACTAACACTACCCATACACTAACACTACCCATACACTAACACTACCCATAGACTAACACTACCCATACACTAACACTACCCATACACTAACACTACCCATAGACTAACACTACCCATAGACTAACACTACCCATAGACTAACACTACCCATAGACTAACACTACCCATACACTAACACTACCCATAGACTAACACTACCCATAGACTACCACTACCCATACACTAACACTACCCATAGACTACCACTGCCCATACACTAACACTGTCCATAGACTAACACTACCCATAGACTACCACTACCCATACACTAACACTACCCATAGACTACCACTGCCCATACACTAACACTGTCCATACACTACCACTACCCATAGACTAACACTACCCATACACTACCACTACCCATAGACTAACACTGCCCATACACTACCACTACCCATAGACTAACACTACCCATACACTACCACTACCCATAGACTAACACTATCCATAGACTAACACTATCCATAGACTAACACTACCCATAGACTAACACTATCCATAGACTAACACTATCCATAGACTAACACTACCCATACACTAACACTACCCATAGACTACCACTACCCATAGACTCAACACTGCACTTCAGATGAGCATGATTGGCAATGTACGGTGCTAAAGAAGTTCAACGTACAAACACACGCGCGCGTTTACGTTTCTCCAGAGCCGGTCCCAAGTCTCTCCCCGACTTGCTGGCGACTCACGCCGCCCACACCGGCACCACCGCGGCGGTGGCGGCGTCGGCGGTAGCGGTGGGCCCCACCACCGCCGGCCCCACGACCGCCGGCCCCGCGGCACGGCCGTCTCTGCGGCGGGCGGAGGCATCGCGCAGCCTCCGCGTGGACGCGTCACTCGCGTCGTCGTCGGAGAGGGAGCCGCTCTCCCTGTCGGGCTCCGAGCGCGGCGCAAACTCCTCCGCCCGCGACAGCCGGCTCACGCCCGCCGGTGAGCGGGCCACCGAGCCCGGCATGTCCCCAACACGCGCTCACCGAATTGCATTCCGCTCGCTCGACAAGGGAGCCGAGTCCGTCGGCTCCCTTGTCAATCTTCAGTCGCTACCGCAGCGGTGTTCGGTCCGGGCGAACCACGATCGTCGATTCCTCCACCCACCGCCACCACCACCACACTGCCGATAACAACAACTCACTCGCTCACAGACTCGGTCACCCACTCATGCAACAACAAAGATCCCCCGTATAGCCTCAATAGACTGTTGGGGCAAGTGCTGTTCGCGAGGCCGGCACAGCACCACGCCCAGCCACCCTTTGTCCCCCCAGTGGTGATGTTTACACACTGCACCAGGTACTCATTTGAGGCTCAGTCGACATAGGGGAGGCCCAGGACCGGTTCAGGTAATTGTCACTGGTATTGGCCATGAGGGAGAATCAAACTCGGGTGGCCAGGTTCATTGCGCAGTGCGCTAACTGCTACGCAACCGCTCCCCACTCACACACTCACCTACTCACTGACACGCCCACTCACACATCTACTCACTGATCCACTCACCCACTCACTCACCCACTCACTCACTCACCCACCACTCTCGTGTCTGTGTGTTGCGGTGTGCGCAGACGAGGAGCTGATGCAGCAGATCCTGGCGGAGAGCGGGAGGTCGCAGGATCGACCTTCCTCGGACAGCGGCCGCTTCTCACCGCGCGCCGACGCCGACCTCCTATCTGACATGTGAGTGGAGCCGGGAGGGTCGGTGAGTGGAGCCGGGAGGGTCGGTGAGTGGAGCCGGGAGGGTCGGTGAGCGGAGCCGGGAGGGTCGGTGAGTGGAGCCGGGAGAGTCGGTGAGTGGAGCCGGGAGAGTCGGTGAGTGGAGCCGGGAGGGTCGGTGAGTGGAGCCGGGAGAGTCGGTGAGTGGAGCCGGGAGAGTCGGTGAGTGGAGCCGGGAGGGTCGGTGAGCGGAGCCGGGAGGGTCGGTGAGCGGAGCCGGGAGGGTCGGTGAGTGGAGCCGGGAGAGTCGGTGAGTGGAGCCGGGAGAGTCGGTGAGTGGAGCCGGGAGGGTCGGTGAGTGGAGCCGGGAGGGTCGGTGAGTGGAGCCGGGAGGGTCGGTGAGTGGAGCCGGGAGAGTCGGTGAGTGGAGCCGGGAGGGTCGGTGAGCGGAGCCCCCTGAAGGTGCAGAACCCCCCATACGTGCCGCGCCCGGCGTAACGCAGCACATCATGATGACGACGATGATGCGGTTGACATCACCAAACCTCGCCCGCACCTCCCGTCCAGCGGCACACGTGGGAACAGAAGCAAAGGAACTCTGCCTACGTTACCCGATGAGTCGGGTAACCGGCGGTGTTAGCGCCAATCGGTGGAGACATCGGTGGAGTTCGGTGATCTCGCCTAGTCAGCGGTGGCCCCAAGACGGCTGTCACCGTCTCACCGTCTCACCGTCTCACCGCTCCCTCGCCCGCCCTCCCGCCCCTGCGCAGCCTCGACCCGGCGGCCTTGCCGGGAGCCGAGCGGCGGGCGCCGTGGAGCCGGGGCTGTGGCTCGGCGTCGTGCGTCCCGTCGGCGCGGAGCCGCTCGGGCGTCGCCTCGTGCCTCTCCAAGCCCGGATCGGCGGCGTCGCGGAAAACCGGTGACTCGCCGAGCGACACGCACAACACACGCACAACGCACGCACAACACACGCACAACACACGCACAACGCACGCACAACACACGCACAACACACGCACAACACACGCACAACGCACGCACAACACATGCACAACACATGCACAACACACGCACAACACACGCACAACACACACACAACGCACACAACACACACACAACGCACACACAACACACGCACAACACACGCACGCACACACAACACACGCACAACGCACACAACACACACACAACGCACACACAACACACACAACACACGCACAACGCACGCACAACACACACAACACACGCACAACACACACAACACACAACGCACACACAACACACACAACACACGCACAACACACGCACAACACACACAACACACACAACACACACACAACGCACACACAACACACACAACACACGCACAACGCACGCACCACACACAACACACGCACAACGCACACAACACACACACAACGCACACACAACCACACAACACACCACAACGCACGCACAACACACACAACACACGCACAACACCACAACACACACACAACGCACACACAACACACACAACACACGCACAACACACGCACAACACACACAACACACGCACAACGCACACACAACACACACAACACACGCACACTCACACGCACAACACACACAACGCACACACAACACACGCACACACGCACAACACACACACGCACAACGCATGCACAACACACACAACACACGCACAACGCACGCACAACACACACAACACACCCACAACACACGCACAACACACGCACAACACACACATGCACAACGCATGCACAACACGCACGACGCACGCACAACACACACAACACACGCACAACACACGCACAACACACACACGCACAACGCATGCACAACACACACAACACACGCACAACGCATGCACAACACACACAACACACGCACAACACACGCACAACACACGCACAACACACACACGCACAACGCATGCACAACACACACAACACACGCACAACGCACGCACAACACACACAACACACCCACAACACACACACGCACAACGCATGCACAACACACACAACACACGCACAACGCACGCACAACACACACACGCACAACGCATGCACAACACACACAACACACGCACAACACACACACGCCCAACGCATGCACAACACACACAACACACACACAACGCACGCACAACACGCACAACGTACGCACAACACACACACAACACACGCACAACACACACACAACACACGCACAACACACGCACAACACACGCACAACACACGCACAACACACGCACAACACACGCACAACTCACGCACAACACACACACGCACAACGCACACACAACGCACGCACAACGCACGCACAATGCACGCACACATGTGAATGCGCTCACACATGCACAAAGACAAATATTCCCCGTGTAGCCTTAACAGACTATGAAGACCGACACGGCACACGAGGGGGTGGGTGGCCAGCACCACGCTCGGCCGCCTTTGTCTCCCCAGTGGCGATGTTTACACACCGCACCAGCTACTCATTTGAGGCTGAGTCGACCTAGGGGGAGGCTCGGGACCGGTTCAGATAATCGTCGCTGATGTTGGCCATGAGCAGGAATCGAACGCACGCACACGCACAAATCCGCACTCACACACGGCACAACACTGTTCATGGCTCACACCTCCATCATGTCGCTCACACCCCCGCTCTGTGTGTGTGTGTGTAGGGAGTGGTGGAGCAGTGGTTAGTACACTGCTCCACCGCTCCCTACACACACACACCCCCGCTGTGTGTGTGTGTGTAGGGAGTGGTGGAGCAGTGGTTAGTACACTGCGCCTGCGAACCCAGCGACCCGAGTTTGATTCCCGCTCGCAAACGAACGCCTGGAACTGTCCCGGGCCTCCACTAGGTCGACTCAGCCTTACAAATTAGTGCCCGGTGTCAGTGTGTAAACTCTAAACTAAACAATTTTTTATTTTACCAGGTAAGGCCCACTGAGCTATATTGCTTCTTTTAGGAAGTGACCTGGCCACAAACCATAGCCCAAGGAAGTGGTTTATCCTGTGGAAATGTATCGCACCCAAATACTCTAAACGTGGAGGGATAAACCGATGAAAAATTCAAACTCCAAATATACAGCAGCAGGCGTCAGTGTCGGGATCGAACCCATGACCTCCTTTATACCAGGCGAGGTAGTTAACATCTCATAGCCACCGTGATGATGATGAGAGAGAGAGAGACACGCAGACTCCAAATATACAGCAGCAGGCGTCAGTGTCGGGATCGAACCCACGACCTCCTGTATACCAGGCGAGGTAGTTAACATCTCGCCGCCGTGGCGGCATTAGCATTTGGGAGATAAAAGGCGGCCGGACGGGCACGGTTTTACCGGCTACACCACACCACACTGCTCCGCCGTGCGCCGTGCGCCTTCACCAGGGCGACTCACTCCCTAACGGCACTTTGCGTCCGCAGCTTCGCGTGGCCTTCGTGTGTTTACGTGTTGCCCCGTGTTGCCCGCAGTGTGCGTGCGGCGTGGCGTGCGCGCGCCGCTGCCGCGCTGGTGCGCGACGCTGGCGCACGGCGCGTGCGTGGCCGGGTTTGCCGCGTGCGTCACGGCGACGTGCCTTTACGGCGTCAGCTTCTCGCCCAGCGTGGCGCTCGCGTGGATCCTGGCGTCCGTCACGGCGCTCGCCACCTCCTTCCTCCTGCTGGAGCCTCTCAAGGTGATGCCGGCGCTGGGCCGGAGGGCGCTGGCGGTGGTGGTGGTGGTGGTTGTTATGGTAACAGTGGTGATGGCGGTAAAGGGGTCTGACGGTGGTGATGATGTTGGTGGAGGAGTCGATGATTGACGGTGAATGTGGTGGTGATGATGGTGGTGACGTTGGCAGCAGTGGTGATTGCGATGGCAATGGTGGTGAATGAGTCGATGACTGGCGATGGTGGCAGTAGCTGGTGGTAGCCTCACGGCGCTCGCGACGGCGGTTGCGGTGACGGCGGTGGTTGAAAGTTGGCGGCATCACAGCGTCGGTAGCAATGATGGTAGCGGTGGCGGTGACGGTGGCGGTGGCGATGACGGTGGCGGTGACGGTGGCAGTGACGGTGGTGGTGGTGGCAGGGGCGGTGACGGTGGCGGTGACGGTGACGGTGGTGGTGGTGGCAGGGGCGGTGACGGTGGCGGTGACGGTGACGGTGGTGGTGGCGGTGGCGGTGACGGTGACGGTGGTGGTGACGGTGGCGGTGGCGGTGACGGTGGCGGTGACGGTGGTGGTGACGGTGGTGGTGACGGTGACGGTGGCGGTGACGGTGGCGGTGACGGTGGCGGTGGCGGTGACGGTGGTGGTGACGGTGGCGGTGACGGTGACGGTGGTGGTGACGGTGGCGGTGGCGGTGACGGTGGCGGTGACGGTGACGGTGGCGGGGGCGGTAACGGTGGCGGTGCCGGTTTGCGCGATCAGATCTTGGTGGAGGCGCTGGCCCGCGCCGCGCTGCAGCGCCGCGTCGACCCGGATGAGGACGACGAGCTGGTGGAGGAGCCGCTGGTGCGGCCGGCGCCCGACCCCATGGGTAAGGTGCGGGCGCCCTGCGGCTACGGCCTCCTGCAGGCCAAGGAGGAGGCCCGCAAGCTCCGCCACCTCAAGGCGCTCGTGAAGGTGAGAGGGGAGCAGCGCCGTGAGAGCGCCCCCCCCTACCCCCCCCTACCCCCTTCCCACCCCCCACTCCCCCCCTCCCACCCCCTCCCCCCCTCCCCCCGCTGGCGCTCGCTCAGCCGTATGGACTCAGCTGGGCCACAGCAATGAAAAAAAAACAACTGCCACCACCATCGCTCTGAAGAAGGGCCATCGCCCGAAACGTCGAAATCCTTTTTTCCATTATGAGGCCTCGTTTTCCAGTAGCAAAATATAATAATAGGTTTTTTACCCTTTTTTTTGGCAACAAAACTGAAACCTTTTTCCAAGAAATCAAATTCCCATTAACCACAATACCTGCAATCAAAATGCAAACAAAAAACACACCGATAATGTGTGCATTGTCCTTGAAATTGATTGGTCCACACCAAAGACAGCTTTTTTTAGAGCCTTGTCTCATATGGTGCTCGACCAGATGACGCCAATAGGCGTCATCTGGTCGAACACCACCCGGGCGCTCAGACTCCCTCGCCGAAATACTCTCCGGCGTTGCCTTTGATGACCGGTAGCGGCAGAGGCATTAACTCAGTTAGCGTCTGACGGACAGGCGGAGAGCGAGCGCGAGAGTTGCATACCGGACGTGGTTGTGCCGCAGAGCTTCGTGCTGCACCTGCTGCTGCTGCTGCTGGTGCTGCTCTTCACCTACTGGGACGCGCCGAGCGAGCGCCACGCGCGCCTGCTGGCGGCAGGCACGCGGCAGGCCGTGCTGGCGGCGCGAGACGGGCCCCTGCATCTCTCGGCCCTCGCCAGGTGGGTTGGGGCTGGCGTGGGGTGGCGTGGTGTGGGGTGGTGTGGGTGGCGTGGGGGTGGTGTGGTGTGGGGTGGTGTGGGTGGCGTGGGGTGGTGTGGGGTGGCGTAGGGTGGTGTAGTGTGGGGTGGTCTGGAGGTGGTAGGGTGGGGTGGTGGCATGGGTGGGGTGGTGTAGTTTGGGGTGGTTTTGGTGGCGTGGGGTGGTGTAGTGTGGGGTGGTGTGGGTGGCGTGGGGTGGTGTAGTGTGGGGTGGTGTGGGGTGGTGTGGGTGGGGTTGGGTGGTGTAGTGTGGGGGTGGTGCGGGTGGCGTGGGGTGGTGTAGTGTGGGGTGGCGTGGGGTGGCGAAGCCTGCTGGACGTGGTGCCGGCCGCACCACCACACCCCGTGGTGCCGTTCCAGCCTTCGTAGGTGCCACTCGCCAACCGCACTTGCCCCTGCAGTATGCTAAGGCTCTACGGGGCTTCTTTGTCTTTGTGCGAGCAGCTCGGAGCAGGTGTGGCTGTGGCTGGGCCGCGTGCTGCTGCCCCACCTCTACCCCAACGTGTCGGACGCACAGAGGCCGACCACGCTGCTGGGCACGCCACGCCTGCGCCAGCTACGCAGCGCCACCGGTACAGCCCCCGCCCGCTCGCCCCGGCCGCCCCCCACTGTCACCGCACTCGCTTGGCGGACGCTAGCGCCCCCCTCTCTCTCTCTCTCCCTGTGCGACCCTCTCGAGCGGAGCGCCGGGTGGATAAAACGCAGCAAGTTGACGCGCTAGGGGCCACAGGTGGTGCATCTGCCAGCCGTTTCATTCGGTCAACCCATGGCACCTGGGTCTGTCCCATGACATCTTGCCACCCTTCAAGACTTCACGCAGCCTCATGGTGCACGTAGCCTGGCACAAGCGCCGTGGTGACGTCACACCCTCTTAGTGGCGAATGGTTGTTGTTGTTGTTGGAGCGGTGGCAAAGAGGTTAGCACGCTGCGCTACAAACCTGGCAATCCGGGTTCGATTCCCACTCACGACCGTTTCCCACTCACGGTGGTTACAATCTGAACCAGTCCTGGGCCTCCCCTAGGATCGATTCGGCCTCAAACTGAGTACCTGGTGCAGTGTGTACAAACATCGGCGCTTGGGAGACGCAAGGCGGCCAGGGCGTGGTGCTGACCACCCACCCCCTCGTGCGCCGTGCCGGCCCTCTTAGGTGCTGCTACTCGCTCACAGCACTTGCCCCAACAGCCTGTTGAAGCCTACACGGGGGATCTTTGCCTGTGTGTGCTGTGCGTGCGAGTAGTTCCGTGCGTCGCTTGGCTGGCGCCGGACTTGCCGCAGGAATGGGGCGACTGCATCGGTGATGACGTCGCCGGCGCCGTCGCCGGCAGCTTCGGTCCTGGGTGGACGCTCCCCACGCCCAACTCCAGCCTCAACTGGAACTACACGCACGCCGTCGCTCCCAGGTGGGACAGACAGAGGGGGAGCCGCTGATAGTGCTTGGTTTGGTGACCACCATCACCACCAGGCAGAGGTCGCAACCGGGTACCCGATACCCGTACCCTACCCGATACCCGGCTACCCGTACCCAGCCGGGTACGGGTACAGGTAGCCGTTTGCAACCCTGGTGCGGCCGGGTACGGGTACGGGTAGGCCGTGAGTCACCGGTGAGTAACCGTTTGTCACTCATTTCTGGGTAGGGAACGGGTACCCCGGCCAGGTACGGGTAAGGAATCAAAACCCGTTTGCGACCTCTGCCACCAGGCCTGGCCAGGAGTTGTTGATCGTGTATTTTGTATTGTAGTTGTTGTTGTAACTTTCTGACCTCGTGCCCTTACTGGACATCTGTGAAATACAGCTTCATAGCTCATCGGATTTTATCCGGGATGAATCACGATTGCGATTCTGATCCTAGGCACGTGGTCCTGCAAGGCGTGGGCCGCAGGAGATGGTGGAGTGCTGAGTTGTGCGTGTCGCGTGTACGTGCCACGTGTGTGTGTTGTTTGTGTCGCGTGTATGTGCCATGTGTGTGTGTTGTGCGTGTCGCGTGTATGTGCCATGTGTGTGGATGTTGTGTGTGTGTGTGGCGTGTGTCGCGTGTGTGTGTGTGTACCTGGATATATTTTTGCCATCAAACACTCCACCACCTCAACTCCCCATTGGTGATGGGGCGGTTGTGGAGAGAGTGGACAGTTTTCCATACCTGGGCAGTGTGCTTATGACCACCTCCGGTTTGACAGCAGAGGTTTCACTGGCCTGCCTAAGATCCATCGGTGAGCTCCTCTGACATGCAAGGCTGCGTTGGTTGAGTCATGTAGCCCGCATGCCCAGCCACGGCATGCCTAAACAGCTTTTGTTCGGTCGGATCGAGTGGGCTAAACAGGCACGGGCTAGAGAAGAGATGGAGTGATGTGGTACAAAAGGACGTGGAGTTGAGTGGACTTGCCGATGACTGGTACCAGCGTTGTCAAGATCGCCCTCTGTGGAGGAGGCTCGTGAAGGACGCTACTGGGCAGTTGGAGGCAGTCGCCCTCCAACAACAACAACGAAGGGTCGGAGGAGCGACGCTCACGACAACGAGCGGAGCGCCGGGTGGCTAAAGCACAGCAAGTTGGCACAGTAGGGGGCACAGGTGGTGCATCAGCCAGTCATCTCGGTCATCTCGGTCAGTCGACCCATAGCACCTGGGTCTGCCCCGTGACCTCTTGCCAGCGGGCGTTCGACACTTCACGTGGCCTTAAAGTGCACATGGCCTGGCACAGGTGTCGTGGTGACGTCACCGCCACTTAGTGACGAATGGCGGTTGTTGTTGTTGTTGTTTACATATGTGCCCGTGTTGTTGTGTGTGTTGTGTGCAGCGCGTGGCACTGGGGGGAGCTGGGCTGGTACGGGGGGGGTGGCTACGTGCAGGACCTCGCAGGGGACCTGGGGCAAAGCCGCAGCACCGTGAGCATCCTCCAGCAGCAGGGCTGGATCGACAGGATGTGAGTCGCACAAAGACAAAGATCCACCCTGTTGCCTTGAGGGGCTGTCGGGGCAAGTGCTGTTAGCGAAGAGCTGTGAAGGCCAGAACGGCACACAAGGGGGAGGGTGGCCAGCACCACCGCCTTTGTCTCCCCAGTGGCGATGTTTACACACCGTACCAGGTACTCTATTGAAGCTGAGTCGACCTAGGGGAGGCCCAGGACCGGTTCAGATATTCATCGCCGGTTCGTCGCCCAGCGGCGCTAACCGCTACACGAACCGCTACACGACCGCACACACATCCATGTAACCGCAACAACAACAACAGCCGCCGCTGATGTCACCACGGTGTCGGGACGGGTGACCATCACGCGTGCGTGTGTGTCCGTGTGCGCAGGACGCGCGCGGTGCTGGTGGAGTTTGCGCTGCGATGTCGGGCGGTGGGGCTCGTGGCGGCCGTCACCGTCCTCTTCGAGTTCCCCGTGGCGGGCGCTGGCATCGCCGCCGTGCCGTCGCTGAGCGTGCGCGCGGCACGGCCGCTCGGCCTGCGGCACCGGGACTCGGCGCTGGTGCTCACGCTCTCCGTGAGTGCCGGTCAGAGCGCCCGTGGTGGCCGGGGCGTGGCCGCTGGGCGTGGCCCCACACCCCCAGCATTGTGCGGCCTTGGTTAGCGCACGCGGTCACAAACTAAGACAAAGATCCCCCACGTAACCTGTGGCAGACTCTTTGGTTTTATTCGATAAAGGCACGTAGGTAAAAAATTTAATAAAAATGAAAACAACTAAATTAAATTACGACGTTTCGGGCGCAACAAACCTCGTGATTTTATTTAGTTTTCATTTTTATTTTATTTTATTTTCTACCTAAGTGACTTTATCGAATAAAACCAAAGAGTGTGGATTCTTGCAGTCACGAAAACTTCAAATCTAGAACTGTTGCAGACTGTTGGAGCGAGTGCTGTTAGCGAGTAGCACCTATGAAGGCCTGCACGGCACATGAGGGGATGGGTAGCCAGCACCACGCCTCGATCGCCTTTGTCTCCCTAGGTACTAAATTGAGGCTGAGTCAACCTAAGGAAGGCCCAGGACCGGTTCAGATATCCGTCACCAGTGTTGGCCGTGAGCGGGAATCGGACCGGGGTTGCCGGGTTCGTAGCGCGGCATAGCGCTAACCACTACACCACCGCTCCCCACGCACACGTGCTAAATATTCAGTCGAAGACAAAGTTCATAGACTTTTGGGGCAAATACACACAGACACATTCGCGTGCTGGGAGCTCCTGGAGCGAAACGTCGGACATCGTGCCAAACAGCCCTCGGCGCCACAGCCTGCGAACGCATCGGCACAACCGCGAGCTCACCCGGCACTCGGACCCGTGTCCTGCAGGTCATGCTGCTGGCGCTGGGCTCCGTCCGCATCCTGATGGCGCTGTGGTCGTCGTGGCGCCGCTTCCGCAGATCCGCAGCCCCCACTCAGCCGCCGTCGTCGTCGACGTCGTCGTCGTCGTCATCGTCGTCGTCCTGGTCGTTCTTCTCGGCGCCCGTGTCGCCGGCGCCGTCGCACGTGGGCTGGGCGCTGGCGCGCTGGCTGTCGATGGCGCTGTGCGTGTGCGCGCCGGCCGTCACGCTGTACCGCCTCGCGCTGGGCGAGCTGCTCGCTCAGGCGCCGGCGCCGGAGTTCCAGGACGTGCGGAGCGCCGTCTTCGTGGCCGAGGCCGCGACGGCGCTCGCCGCCTCGCTGCTCTTCCTCTCGCTCGTTACGGTAAGCGCGCGCAAAGACAAAGATCCCCCGCGTGGCCTCAACGGACCGTTGGGGCAAGTGCCGCAAGCTAGCGGTACCTGTGAAGGCCGGCACGGCGTAGACCGGGGCGGGTGGCCAGGGCCACGCCCGGCCGCCTTTGTCTTCCCGGTACCACACACACCGCGCCGGCTACTTCCCGGTACCACACACCGCGCCGGCTACTCATTAGAGGCCGAGTCGACAATCCGCTACTTCACTAACGTGGCGGATTGAGAAAAACGAGTCGTTTTACTCTCTGTATCTGCGACGGGTCTCCTGGCGATCGAGAGCTCAGCCCGGGCGAGACGGCTGTGGTGCTGTCACTCTGTGGACGTGCGTCACCCCCCCCCCTCAAAGGAATGGTGCCGCCCTCCCCGTGCCGCCCTCCCCCCACCACGCGATCCCGCGGATCGAAGAAAATCGCTGGAGATGCCGGGGGGCGTCAGTTCATGTGAACGCTGCCGCGAGAGGTCACGCGTTTGGCACTCAACGGCCCGGATTAACCGCGCGGCACCTGAGATTTTGACGTAGATTTATATAACCCGTGGATTTTGTCCCTTAAGCCCGAAGTAATCGTCTCAAAACAGTGACACGTTGTTATTCTCGTAAATGTTTATTACAAGCCGCGTGCTTTCAAGCAAACAAATATGTTGCTCCGGTTAATCCGATATCCACGTGCACGCCTCTGCAGTACAGTAGTTGCATTTCTTGAGAACGCTGGGCGGAGTTTGATTGACACTGATGGGCGTGTCTCTGCTGCTGTTATCCACCTAGTGGGCCGCGTCTTCTGCTGCGTGGAAGCAGGAAAGTATTACTATCACTGCGCACGCGCATCGGTCGATCGATCATTAGCACGACAATTTTTAGTTTTTACACTATGAGACCTCCTTTACCAGTGGCAAAATATAGTAATAGGTTTTTACCCTTTCAACTGGTACTAAAACTGACGCCTTTATACAAGGCATCATGTTTGGAGCCTAGGCTCTAAGAAAAGCTGTCTCGGGTGTGGACCAATCAACTTCAAGGACAGTGCATATTATTATCATCATCAGAGTTGTTTCTTTTTGTTTGCATTTTGACTGCTTGTGTTGTGGTTATTGCAAACATGATGCCTTGTATAAAGGTGTCAGTTTTTGTACCAGTTGAAAGGGTAAAAACCTATTACTACATTTTTAGTTTTGTTCATTTAGAAGCTCAATTTGCTTAATTTCAATATCAATTGTACCCATATTGGTGGTTTTTGGCACAGAGATTATCCGCGATTTTAAATTATCCGCAGCCATAATCCCCATCATCAGCACGGATTATCGAGAGCTCTACCGTAACGTGACAAACGAACGAACGAATTATCGTCGATATTATTATTATTGATCAAGTTGACGACGGAGCCCCCCCCCCCCCCCCCCCCCGCAGGCGGCACGGCAGGTGCGCTTTGTCCGCGCGTGGGCCCTGCAGGGCAAGACGTTTGAGCGAGCGTGGCCGCGTCTGTGGCGGACGCTGGCGCTCCTCCTGACGGCGCTGCTGGCCTTCACGCAGCTGGGCTTGCTGGTGAGAGGGCGCGGGAGGGGACGGGCCATTTGGCACCGGCTCCCGCGCACGTACACACTGCCACGTTGCAGCATGCACACACGCACACGTATGGACTGCCACATGAAGCACGCACACACGTACGGATTGCCGTGTTGCAGTACGCACACACGCACACGTACACATTGCCACGTTGCAGTACCCACACACCCACACGTACACACTGCCACATGCAGCACGCACACGCATGCGTACGGACTGCCGCGTTGCAGTACGCACACACGCACACGTACGGACTGCCACATGCAGCATGCACACACGCACACGTACGGACTGCCACATGCAGCATGCACACACGCACGCGTACGGACTGCCACATGCAGCATGCACACACGCACGCGTACGGACTGCCACATGCAGCATGCACACACGCACACGTACAGACTGCCACATGCAGCATGCACACACGCACACGTACAGACTGCCACATGCAGCATGCACACACGCACACGTACAGACTGCCACATGCAGCATGCACACGCACGCGTACGGACTGGCACACGGCTCCCATGCGACTACGTCACGCGGCGTCTGACGCTCCTCTCACGCCGAGTCAACACGCGTACAACACCAAGCACCGTGTTGACACACACAACAACAGCAAAAGCAACGGCCGCCGTTCGCCACGGCGTTATATTTGTTTATACCGAGTGGCGGTGACGTCGCCAGGACGCTTGTGCCAGGCTATGTGCACGTTGAGGCCACGTGTAGTGTTGTCGGCTCGCTGACGGGAGGTCACGGGACAGACCCAGCAGGTGCCATGGGGTGGCTGACTGAGATGACCGGTAAATGCACCACCTGTGCCCCCTGGTGTGCCAACTCGCTGCGCTTTAGCCGCCCGGCGCTCCGCTCTTCGTTGTGAGCGTCGCTCCTCTGCCCTCCACACACACAGCCACACACACAGCCACACACATAGCCACACACACAGCCACACACACAGCCATACACACAGCCACACACACAGCCACACACACAGCCACACACAACAACACCCACTCCTACTCAACACACCGCTCTCTATTCAGCTGCCAATTAACCGGTGGGTCAACAAACACACGCTGAATAATTCACCTGCTGTCAATAAACGTGTCGGGCAATACACAAGCGAACGCACATACTGACCTGGGGGCGGCTCAGCATCGGTTCAGAAGAATCATCAGCGGTGTTGGCCGTGAGCGGGAATCGAACTCGGGTCTCCCGGTTCGTTGTGCAGCGCGCTCACCGCTGCTACACTACCGCCCCCGATACCGTTCCCTACACGTGAAAAAACGAAGACACACACGGAGACAAAGACACACAAAGACAAAGACACAGACAGACAAAGACACACAAAGACAAACACACACAGACACTCACACGCAGACAAAGACACACAGACAAAGACACACAAAGACAAACACACAGACACTCGCACACAGACAAAGACACACAAAGACAAGATACACACGCAGACAAAGACACACGCCCACTCACAGACAAAGACACGCAGACACTCACACACAGACACTCACACACAGACAAAGACAACAAGACACGCTCGTGCCGGCCGAGGAAGCTCACCGCTCTCTCCTCTGCGCCGCCAGATCTTCTCGCAGCGCGTCAGCTGCTTCCGTCGCTTCGGCCTCGCGCTGGGCTCGCTCGTCTCGGCGCTTCGCTCGGGGCGCCGGCTGCTGCTGGCGGCGCCGTCGCCGCCGTCGCCGCCGCCCTCCACGCCGCCGCCGCCGGCGCCGTCACGGTGGTCGTGGTGGTCGGCGTTATCGCCGCCGTCGCCGTCCGCCCGGCCGTGGTCCTCCCGGCCGGAGGCCGCGTGGCCGTGGGCGGCGGCCGCCTTCCTGCTGCTGCTGGCGCTGGGCGCGGGCGCGGCGCTGGCGCGCGGGTTCGCCGCGGCGCTGGCGGCGGCGCACCGGCGGGAGCGCGCCGAGGCTCGGCGGCCCGCGGTGGCGCCGCAGGATTACGAGATGGCCGAGTTCCTGCTCAAGCGCGTCCGCCTCGTGCTGGGCCTGAGCAAGGCCAAGGAGGTAACGGGCGTCCGGGCCGAGCTCGCCGCTGGATCCGGTCCGGTCGGCGTGGCGGTCTGAAACAAAAACTATTGAACTGTTTTTTATTTATATTCGGTAAGGCCCCACTGAGCTATGTAGATTTGTTTTTTATATATAAGTGACCTGGCCTTCACAAACGATAGCTTAACGAAGTGGCTTATCATCATTATCAAGTCTCTAAACGCGTGGTGATATTGATTCTCTAAATATGGAGGGAAAAACTGGAGGACCCGGAGAAAAATACACGCGAGAGAGAGAGAGACACACAAACCCCAAATGTACAGCAGCAGCAGCAGGCGTCAGGGTCGAGATCGTACCAATGACCTCCTGTACACCAGGCGACGTAGTTAACATCTCCTCGCCGCCGCAGTTCCCGGTCAGCGCGAGGCAGCCTGGCAGATCGGGCGACGACGTGAGCCGAGCGCCAGTGCGGAGGGTCGGGGTTCGAGGCTTGGGCCCAGCTGCGGCCCCGGCGAATCGGGTCGGCTCGGCGCTCCGACTCTCGGAGCCCCTCCCGTGGAGCCCGTCGGCCGCCGTGCGAACCGGACCGCGTGGCCGCCGGGCTCGTGCCCTTACTCCCTCGTCCTCTGATCCCCCGGTCCCCCCTCGCCCCCCCCCCCGTGCCCACGCAGTTCCGCCACAAGGTGAAGTTCGAGGGCATGGAGTCGCTGCCGTCGCGATCCTCCCTGCGACGCGCTGTCTCCGCCCCCCCGCCCGCCCACCTCCTCCTCCGTGTCGTCGTCGGCGTCGTCCACCTCGTCGTTGCTCGGGACGTCGGCGACGTCGCGGGTCGGCGCGGAGCAGCCGGCGCCGGCGTCGCCGTCGCCGCCGGCGCGGGAGGAGCTGGAGCGGTGCTACGCGGCGGCGGGGCCCGCGGCGGAGCGCCTGCTGGCGCTGTTTGAGCGCGTGTGCGAGCTCACCGACGACGTGCTCCGCCTGGAGCTGGCGCTCGAGGACGCGCGGCTCCGGCTCGGCGCCGGCCCCGAGCCGCCGCCGCCGGCGCCGCCCGAGCCGAGGGGGGCGGCCGAGGGCCGAGCGGCGAGCGGGGAGACCGGCGAGGAAACCGCGCGGGAAACGGCACCCGCCGCCAAACCCCCGCCCGGCGCCGCCGACGGCGCGCGGCGGAGGAGCGGGCGTCCGGAGTTGCCGCGGGCGCCGAGGTCGGCGGCGGAACAAGACGGCGCCGATGCCGCCCCGACCGCGAGGGCCGTCTCCGGGTACCGCGCGCCGCCACGGCCGCCCTTCGGCAAGGAGGTGCCGGCGCTCGGGCAGCGGCACACGCGGCTTCCCGGGGCGATGCCGGGCGGCGCCGGCGGTGCCGTGCTGCCGCCGGTGCCGTTCGGGGGGCCGCGCGGCCGGACCGGCGTGGAGGAGGCCGCGGGGGGGGGGCGGCGGACTGGCGCGGCCCGGCGCCGTCGCCATCGCGACGCAGAGCGTCAAGAGGAGCGCGTGGTAGGCGGGCCGCGCTGCCGCTCGATCGCTCCCGGGGCGAGCGGCGCCGCCCAGGGCCGGCGGTGGCAGGGGCGGTCCGCCAGCCTGGCCGTGGATCACCGTCACACGGCGCGGGTTGTGCCGGGAAGCCGGCGCCGACGCTGTACAAGCCGTACGTAGGAACGGCACTCTTCTCGTGCCCGACGGCGTAGGGTGGACGCGCGTCTACGTGAGCGCGGTGTTTTTGGTGATCGCCAGCGGCACCGGTGGCAGCAGCTGGGGACGCAGCTGATTATTTATTGGCGCCGTCGGCGGCACCGTGGCGGAGCTGTTCTGCTGCGAGCTCTCCCGCTGAGCCGCACTGGGAGAGAGCTTCTTCGGGAAACCCGAGGAAGCACCGACGCTTCCTGGCGCGAGGGGCGAAACGGCTGACGTCGCAGCAGCAGCAGCACGCGGCGGTGTGGCTCGCGGTCCGCCACGTGTCGCGTTCCGTCGGTCCGACAGATTCTCGTTCCTTTCGTCCGGGTTTTTTTATTTGACCAAAAATTGCCGTGTGGGAGCGATGGAGTGGGCGAGGCACTTGTCAATGGACACTTCCACTTGAGACACAGGCGGCTGCCCTCTGGGCCGGCTGCCCCACAGAGTTTAACCAAATCGAGGCGCGAGCGATCGGTCGCTCGCTCGCAGCGGAGGCGCAGGCTACGGACCCCTCAGGCCCGGCGGGCTCGCGGCGACGATGCGTCGGCGCAACCACGACGATCGGCCGTGGCCGTCCTGGACGGGGCTGGGTCGGGGGTGGGTCGTGCGTGGGTCGGGGCAGAGCCAGGGATCTGCTGCGAAGGGGGCGCGGGGCCAGACGCGTCCTCGACCGCTCACTCGGATGTTGGCAAAGCGCCCGCGTCAGGATGGCGTTCGGCCGAGCGGGGTGTCCGCCCGTTGGGGTTTGTTGTTGCACTTTGCACTTTGTGTACGGCGTGCCGAGCCGGCGACGCATCGTCCACGTTGCCCGGCGCCGACCAGCGAAGGATGGCGGCGTTTGCCGGAGCGGCGGAGCGCGCAGTCACGCGGTCGATTCGCTCTCCGCGGAGGTTTGGCGCTGGTGAGTTGTCACGAACCCGTTCTCGTTCCGGTGACGTACGTGTACATCGTCGGAAGGGAATCTGAAGACGAAAGCTTCAAATCTAGAATTATCGTCATTGCCGCCCAACTCTCGCGGAGTCCGCGACTGCGAGTGAGGCACGCGCTCGCGAGTTTTCTGGCTGCCGCTGTAAATTTCCACGCGACGACGACGATAAGCCACTCCGCTGCGCTGCCATTTGTGTCGCTTCTGAACAACGAAGAGACACATAGCTCAGTGGGTGGGGCCTTACCTGATCAAATAAAATAAAGAAATATATTTTTAAATTCGAGTGGCTTCCGGGACGTTCTGGGCCCGACCGCTCACAGGTTTGTATGCGGTAGTCGTTGCGCGTGTCGCTCTCTGAATTGATCGCGGCCGGCACGGCGGCGGTGCTGGTGCAGCGCTGGCGCTCCGTGCGACAGCTTCATTCACTTCGGCCTCGTCGTCGTCGTCGTCGTCGCCGCCGGGTGGTGGAGGGTTCTGCACGACGCGCCGCGGCCAGGCCGTTGCGTACGTGGCCTCACCCCAAATTCCGATGACGGACCGTGGGCGTGCCGGCTGTGGGTGTACGCACCCATGTTGAACGCCTTTCGCACCGTACGTAGCCTAACCGCGCTAATCGGAGGTGCGGGAAGAAGGGCCGCAGACTAAACGCGAAGAGCAGCTCTAAAGAAATGAGTTTTCAGTCCACGTGATTTCACACAGCTCCAGTCGCTTCCTAATATCGGAGGGAAAGATCATTCCAGACGGCCAGTCTTTGTTCAGTGGGGCGGGCAGCAGGCCACTTGGCCCGGCGAGGTGTGACGGAGATGACGACGACGATGGCGATGTTGCCGTCTTGGCCGAAGCCACCGATGCCACCGCCGCTCCTATACCCCATCCGGCAGACCCCACAACGAGAAAACCCAGGATGGGTGGGCAACCCTCATTGTGAGCCATGCGTGGCGCTGTGGGAGGGATGCGGCGCTGGCACGGTGGAGCGGTGGGGCACGCGCCACCGTTGGCCCGCGATGTCAGGCGGACGACTGCAATCTCGCCGCGTCCACGACGAACTTTAATTGTGCCCAGAACAAACTCCGTTCAGGTAAAGTTGTGATTTTATTTTAAATGCGCGCGCCGCGTGCGTGTGCGCGCCGCGTGCGTCACCCCGTGTGTGTCACCCCCTCATTGTGCGGTGCGGGGAGCGGTGGCGCGGCCCGAGTTCGAGCCCCGCTCGTGACCAATAACGGTGGCGAATGTCTGAACCGGTCCCGGACCTCCCCTAGGTCGACTCAGCCTCAAATGAGTACCTGGTGCGATGTGTAAAAACATCGCCACCGGGGAGACAAAGGCGGCCGGACGTGGTGCTGGCCACCCACCTCCTCGTGCGGCGTGCCAGCCTTCACAGGTGCTGCTCGCTAACAGCACTTGCCCCAGCAGTCTGTTAAGGCTTGGGGACCTTTGTCTTTGTGTAGTGTTATATGCGACGTGCCAAATGTACATGACGTGATTTGTCAGTGGTTGCTGCCCAATGTGTGCCACTGTCTGTGCGTGTGCCTCTGCGTGTTTCTAATAGCAACCGTGGGGAGCGGTGGCATGGCGGTTAGCACGCCGCGTCACTTTTACGTGGCCGCCCGAGTTCGATTCCCGCTCGCGGCCGACATTGGCGGCGAGCATCGGAACCGGTCCCTTGAGGTCAACTCAGCCTTAAATTGAGTCCCCGGTGCGTTGTGGAAGCGCCGGCGCCGGGGGAGACAACGGCGGCCGGGAGGGAGTGCGTTTGTCCGACCACACCACTCCCTCGTGCGCCGTTCCGGCCTTCGAATGTCCTCGCCAACAGCACTTGCCCCAAACGGCGTGCGTAGGCTACATGGGGGATCTTTGTAGTTGCAGTGAGCTTGGCCCGTCGGCGATGGAGTTATGAGAATGAGAATCTTTATTTATCCTGGAGCAATCCAATGAGCTACGCAGATCTTTCTGTACATGTGTATACTTGTGCGTGTGTGTACATTGAACTTCTTTAGCACCGTACGTAGACAGCCGAGCTCATCGGAGTTGCGGGAAAGGACGACAAACTAAACACGAACAGCAGTTCTAAAGAAACGAGTTCGTCAGTCTAGGTTGATGATAATATAAAAGTGCACAGCTCCCAACGGCTACCTGATATCGGAAGGCAAGAGCGTTCCAGACGGCCGCGGAAGCGCGTTTGGAAGCGCCGAGCGACGATTCGGTGTGACCGCCGCCTTTGTTCGACGGCTTAGCCAAAAAGTTTGCGAGGATGAGCAGAATTGGAGCGGTGGTGGTTCTCATGCTCCTGGACGAGATCAGCACCCCGAGGTATTGTGGTTCATTCGTGGCGAGCATGGGCGTGCAGGCCGGGAGTCCTGATCCCACGGAGAGTCTGGTTCGGAGTGGGGAGCGTCGTTGAACGCGGCAGAAACTCGTGAGCGTGAGCGAGGAGGGTTACGCGGGGAGGTTGGGAATACGCCCTGAGATGGAAGGGGTACGGGCGCAGCTCGGGAGGAGGCGAGTCTCGGTAGAGCAATCCAGACGGATTGGGCACAGGCGCAGAGGTGACGTGGTGACGAACGAGGTTGTGGAAGGAAGGTCGCACTGGTGATGGTGCTGTGAGTGGTGCTGTGTGTGACGGTGCTGTGTGTGACGACGCTGTGTGTGGCGGCGCTGTGTGTGACGACGCTGTGTGTGACGACGCTGTGTGTCAGGGTGCTGTGTGTGACGGCGCTGTGTGTGACGACGCTGTGTGTGACGGTGCAGTGTATAACGCGATGTGTGTGACGACACTGTGTGTGACGATGTTGTATGGTGATGCTGTGTGTGACGACGCTGTGTGTGATGATGTTGTATGGTGATGCTGTGTGTGACGACGCTGTGTGTGACGGCGCTGTGTGTGACGACGCTGTGTGTGACGGTGCAGTGTATGACGGCGATGTGTGTGACGACACTGTGTGTGACGATGTTGTATGGTGATGCTGTGTGTGACGACGCTGTGTGTGACGACGCTGCACGTTACGGATCCAGAAAGAGGAGACAGGTGTCGATTGGAGGGGCGGATTCTTATCATGGGTGAAATCTTGTGGAAGGCTCACGGGGTGGGGGAGGCAGTGGGGGGGGCGTTGGGGTAAAGATGCAGAGAGACCGAGAGAGGGCGGTGATGCGGCTGACCGCTTCCACAAAGGCAGGGAGAGCCTGCGCAGGGGATGACGAAGAGGGCGTTGATGACTTGCCGACCCCATGCTCCTACTGGACCTCTGTGAATAAGGGCCTCATCGGATGCCTCCTGCAGTCCAAATGAAAGAGTCTGGATTCCGATTAGACCCGCCGTGAGTGTGGAGGGAGGGAGCTTGGAGCCATGGACCTGTCGTTGGGCAGAGTACGCCTCGGAGACGCCTTGGAGACAAGATGCCTTAACCTGTGGGCCCCCCGTGCCGCTCTTCTCGCGAGGTGGGCGGCCTAACCCCT